CCTGGTTCATATCTTAATTGTAGTCATAACTACACCATAAATGTTTTCTTCTGTACAGCGAAGTTCCTTGTCATATTAATTTTAAACTTGATATAAGTGTCTTAATTTACTACTTTATTATTAATTTTGAATGTATTAAAGGTAATGCCTTCCCCTTAGAAGAGATTAAAGATGTATTGTTTCTTATAAAATTTAAAAAGAAAAATCATTTTTGAAATGTACTTCCTCATTTTGTTGGAACATCAAAATTTTCAACTTAACTGTTATTAGTGTAAAATGTTGTTAACAGTTAAATTATAATGTTGCAATTTAACTGTTAACTGGTAAATGTGGTTCTCTATTTTAAACGTTCGTTCATCACCAGGAATTAAGTACTGGAATGGTAATAATGCTTGTCGTTGTCATTCAATAAATACAAAGGTATATAGAATAAATGATAAATATGATATGACGTACAAAATATTGTATCAATATTGACTGATAATTAAATTATCCCACACATTCAAGAAATATAATTCATATAAGTATATTTCATGGGCAAGTATAGTAGGCATATATAGTCCTTATTAACGTTCATTCCAACAAAAGACGCCTGATCTAAATAGTAGAGTCTATAATTTATACTGATTGGCGTCATTAGCCACATTCAATCCATTTCTGCAAGGCAACAATCCAAGATTTCAACAAAGTTGACTCTTCTTGCCTTTGTCATCCGTCCGATCCTAATAAACATGTTAATGTCGTCCTACCATCATAATTTTTGCCTTTAGATATATATATATATTTGATAATTACCTATCTTATTTATATTTGATTTAAAAAAAGAAATAAAATAAGGGTATATTAATTAATTTATTGCATTATATATCTTTAGATGCTCGTACGCTGATGAAGGTAGCAGGTGCTACCGAAAAATTAGTACAAATAAACATCAATGTCTCAATTAAGTCAAAAGTGTATATTAATTAATTTATTGCATTATAAATGAAACAAACTATATGATTAGGAAACATAAGACTCATTGTTTTTCATTGTATAGGTTCTAGTGACAAATAATGTTAACTTACTATTTCCAGTGGGTGCGTTCGCTTTTTTTGGACTAGTCTCCGAAGAGTCTGTGGGCACCGATTTGCCATCTTCATTTGGTGCACTGTCCATTGCGCAGCTATATTGTGTCTCTTAGACTCTTGGAAATGGTTGCCCTTTTCGAGCGATGACAAAACCTGAAATTGAGAAAATAAGCGTCTAATTTGCTTTTTGTAATAAAATAAAACATTTCACAAACATCCAAATATGGGTAGTTGCTAAATGCGTGGCTTGTATGGTGACACGTCATGTTTAATTTACCAATTACAGTACTGGTTAATTCAGACCAGTGGTGGCGCCCGATTTGATTTGCCCGACGGGTGAGGTATGTCGACGACGCCATTACGGAGAAGCCCCAGAAACTCCCCCAACTATGGATTTAAAAGATATTTAACCAAGGTTTAGAGTTTCCTAATCTGAAAAATTACATAAGATTTGTTTTTCTTGTAAGTGGATTGCCTTGTCCTCTCCCCGCTCTCCCCAAACACCACTGCTGCTCAAAACGCCACGGATTTTGCATAGGCCTACTTGTGGATGCATAGTTATGCTCTAGAAAAGAATTACATTGTCGATATTGTTACTGGTATATGGCTAATTCAGGATATAGGCAATGGCATTGACAGTGCGTTCCCATACATTATTAGAATGATAATATTAACGATCCTTATAAGGCAAGTTGATGACCTTGCTGTCAGCTTTTGCATTGGATTATATTTTCGCTATTAGGTTTTTTTTTCAATACAATACCTTCTTGGGTTTACCAAACTATCAACTTCATACTTTAATACCAGTAATAGCGCCAAGATTTTTCCCTGGGTGGGGGAGTCCAAGGTCCCTGACAGAAAATAGTGGGCATGGTCCGCCGTCGTTTAAAATCTCTCGAAAGTGTTCCAAGGGCCGAAGCCCTCGAAAAGTATTACAATTTAGGGGTTTCAAATGCTTATTTAATCGATTTTTGAGTCTACTAATATGTAGAACATACATATCATTTTTTCCCCGACGAATTGTGTTTTTTCTTCACGAATTCTTTCCGACGGGGCCCTGGCCCAGGGGCGACAAGGGGTCCTACATGTCCGACAGAGGGGTCCGAGCCAAGGGGCTGACGTCGAAGCCTCGGTCGACGGCCCAGAATAAAAACTCCATTTTAGGTTTCACTGCAAGAGTTTGTATGGCTTCAGGGGCGGATCCAGAGATGTCCAAAAGGGGGGCCGAAAGGGGGCCGAAATTTGGGCCGATCGAAACAACAATGCCCTAGGGGGTCCGCATGCCCCCGCGAAATTTTGGTGTTCTAGACGCCCGAAAATAACATTTGAGGCGTTCTGGGCTATCATTTTTTTCTTTTCCTTCCTTTTTTTCTTTCTTTTTTCTTTTTTTTAACCTCCCAAAGGGGGAGCCGGGGCCGGGCCGGCCCCCCTCCCTCTAAATCCGCCCCTGGGCTTAGTAGCCTATGATCCAAAAGATGATTTTAAACCACAATACAGTATTAGGGATTGGCAGTCAAAATAACGTTATTTGGATAAGCAATTTATTATTTTTTTATTTTTTTTATTCGACGCCTAGCATGAATCATGCGTCGGACGACAGGGGGTCCAGTCCTGTCCAACGGAGGGGGAAATGTCACCCTGCCCCACCCCCGCTGGCGCCATCACTGCCTGGTCCCCGGCCTCCGCTGGCGCTACCCCTGTTCAAATCACAGGAATGGCGGTGTATTTCTGTGTTAGCTCTGACTGTTTTGATTTTGTGGGCACTTGATGAGTGGGACCCCTGTTAAATTCAATAGTGACATTATGAAATGAAACCAGTCCATTGATAATTTTAAAAGTAAGATTAACCGGGCATCTTTACGACGGTCTTTTAAACAGGCCTAAAACTATCAAATGTACGCGTATTAGTTGGTCTATTCTGATTGGTCAGTTCAGTTTTATTGACACTATTTCAATAAAGACGATATACCATAGCCACTAATTTCATAGGATCATTATTTATTGTTTATGCAAGCTTTTTAGTGTGAACTAATAACTATATAAACATCATCAGGAATATAAATATTGTCATACCACTGTTAAACCCTATAAAAGGAAAACAATGAGTTGCAATTTCTTTTAAAGAAAAGTCATCTTTAAAAGTTTTTGTAATTTCATTGTCAGCATTATATTCCTTCGTGCTAGACACTCCTAGGCCTAATTCAACATTAGCTCTTTTACTTTTGTAATAGACATATTATTGTCAGTAGGCCCAGTGTATAAGGATGAATGAGGACTTTGTCAAAAAATAGTTTAAAATAGCAGAGTAGAATTAGCGTGCTGATTGAAACATTAGTAGTGGTTGGAAGTGCGGTAATAGAGTAACTTATGACAACATTTGTATGTATGGCTGTCATTTCCGACATGAGCCAAAAAGCCGTTGCTGACGCCCTGTTGTTGAGTTACGCCCGCAATTATGCCTCTCTAAAATCTGATTGCGCTTTTTGTTCATAGTGCACCCACGGTCTCATTATGTTAGTTCGACACGCGAGCTGACCACGAGGAGCCTTCATCCAGTAGATGAGATAACAGAGGCGATCCACGTTTGTGAAACGCGCATGAGAGATAAGACAAAACCCAACCGATGTAACGGACACATATCAATTAACTATTTCCTTCCAAAATATATTTATAAATTTTCGGTTGTTGACTTCACTAATGTGTACTTATTTGTAAAATCACTCATAAGACTACTATGTTTTGTGTATCATCGATGCTTCTGCGCATATCTCGTTGGAAATCTATAGCAATTGCCTATTTATTATATAGGCCTATTTATTTATTTATTCATAAACCAAAAAATTCGTAGCCTTTCATATCGAGGTGCAACCTATTGGAATGCACACATTTTGACAAAAATGAAATTTTACAAATTCCATATCACACTTTCCAAATTAACATTACACAAATGATAAAAAAAAATAAAATACAAATTGAAAAAATATAATAATAATTTATTTTAGTTAAAGTTTATATTATAGGCCTATTATATATATATATACATATATATGCACACATTTTGACAAAAATGAAATTTTACAAATTCCATATCACACTTTCTAAAGTAACATTATACAAATGATAAAAAATAAAATATAAATTAAAAATATAATAATAATAATTTATTTTGAAGTTGACGTTTTTATTATAATAAATACGGTAATATTTGTGGAACTAAAAAAATATGATTTAACATTTTAATTGCTATATTTTATATAGGCCTATTTAAGTACGGTAAGTTAATGTAGCTTTTTCCTTACAATTAATAGAATATCATTCCTCCATTTAATTGATACGGTATCTTTGCATATCTTAAATTAATGAACTTCCATAGTAAAATACATGTAAATTACAACAATAGTTTGCAATAGCAGGCTCAATGCAAGTAAAAAATAAAACAACACACGTTTTACTGTTGATGTATCCTATAATGTTAATGTTAAAAACTTTATAGGCCTATTATTTTTATTAGATACAAGCCTACCTTTTAATAAGACAATTCTCCTTGATCTTAAGACTTATTTCATTTCCTCAGCTCCACTTGTTAAAAAAAAGTCCTTACAAATCACTATTTCCCCAAGGATACAATATATTGAGATAATTTATGAATGCAAACTTGTTTGCTTTTGTCATCCTTGGAAACTATTTTTCATTCCCCATGGAATAGAATTTGGCAAGTCCTTCTAAGTATCTGATCGTGGGCCTACACTTTTGATTGGGGAAATGAATGAAGGTCTATTAATGTCGCGGAAGTCTGCTTCACCACAGATTCCACTATCGGGAAGTAGGTTTGTACCCCTTAAAACGATTACACTAAACCACAGACCCCTATATACCCTATATAAAGGATTTGTGACTAAACTTTCAACCACGGTTGAATCATCCGAGCCACCCAGCAATGCATATAGCTTATAGTTAGGTAAAAATCAGTGGGAACCCGTGACTCCCTATCTCTCACCAGGGACAAATATCTTAATAAAAATATAAAATAATAAAGGGTTTCATATTGCATACAAATCAGATACTAACACAGGACCCAATCAAATAATGAGAATGGATCTGGCAATACACAGTAGAACCAAGGTAAGAGGACACCTTCGGGACCAAAAAAAGTGTCCTTTTAGTAGGGGTGTCCCTTGAATAGGGTTTGGATATACTTTTCCTCGTTTCGTGGCTGAAAAAATGTCCCCTTTAAAAGCAGTGTCCCCTTAATAGAGGTGTCCCAAGGGAGGGGTTTTCTGTATTTACAATTCATATTCAAATTGACAGCATTTGCCGTTACAAACCACCTCAATTTTTGTTCAACCCAATTATGATGGCGTAAGAGAATGAGCTTACGCTATTGGAAAGAAATCATAAAGGCCGAGTAGTAGTGTTTAGAATGATTTTAGGCTTATGGCAGGCCCATAACAAGAGAGACGGAAGTCCAGAGGAGTCAAGGAAATACCTCTTGTTGAGAAAAATACCTTACCGCTAAATCATTTTTATTTTTGAGTTTTTGATTCAAGTGGTGCGGATGGTTTGGTTTATCAGATGGGATTCGCTCGAAAAGGGGGTTTGTTTGAACCATAGATCATAGATACCCCACCCACCAATTTTCTCGGTTACGACCAGGCCTGTATCTTCATCTTACAACTCTGAATAAAGACAAGTGAAGTAGTGAAATACGGTACGTAATATACGATATATTTGTGATGTTTCGCAAAATCAGACCTAATGTGCCTTTCCAAGCCACGCCCATTTATTGTTGCCAGGGTACGTCCCACCATTAACGACTGTGTAGACGTATGATTGGTTAGTTAAGTTTGAATGACATTTCGAAAGGGTCCAATTATAAATGAGCCTACTGCTTCATCTTACATTGTTTTGCTTTAAGTCACTAGGTAAGTAATCATCCAATGATTTCTCATTTATTTGTTTACATGGATAATATGTAAAGGGCAAATTGTTGTAATAATAATTATTTCAACGAATTTAACGAGTTTCCTTTTGTTGGTCAATAAAGTTTTCTTATATAAACGGAACTTAATGATGATACAAAATATCTCTATTCTTGTTCAGATTGGTAGAATGTGACTGTTTTCAATTTACGTAGGCCTAATTTAATTCTGAATAAACCTTTTTCCTATAGGAACTCTACTGCAGACTAACATTTACTTTACAGATTGTTTGCAGGACACTGGTGAGATCAGCCCCTGTTCAGCTGCTGAAAATCAATATGGCGAGGTCTTGAACCGTCAGTAAGCCCAGCGGGGTCGGGTGGCAGGCCAAAGTGAAGATCTGAGATCTGAAGCCCAAGAAGCTACGACCCTTTATGTATTTAATTTAAGCGATTATATAGTAATTGTCCAAAGTTAATGACATTGTATTATACTACTTTAAAAAAAAATGACAATGGGGCCTGGGCCCCGGTAGGCACACCCGCCTATCTCCAGTCTCTCGTGACAATATAAGTAGTTGATGGGTTGTCATGCAATGAAAGTTATATTATCTTTACGGGTGTTGTTCGTTTTCTTAAGTATTACACAAACTTGTGGCCATGACGGTGGTGAGCCCTACATCCGTAAATTAATGACTCATTAAGAATCATCTTCGTCCATCGTTCGATTTTCCCGCGAGATCCTTAAATAAATCGTAAAAATATGCAAATTCACCTATAGACGTATTTACGACTGACTCTGACATCATCTTCGATTTCCTAAGTTATTGTTGGCTAATTGAATTTGTAGTCTGAACAAAAATTAGATCGGCTTTCTGTGACTGGGAACGCTGATCAAAATATTATTATAATTTTCTCCATAAAATATAGGCATACATACCCTCAACCATATAGGCATCCCCTACGATTTATACACAACATCAGAGACGAATAGAAAACCGGGAGCACATGACCTAAGGTTGAAAAGCTCTATCTCATTTCCGCGACTCTATAAGGTCAGCTTGTGAACGCGAAGGTTTTTTCAAATCGCACACAGACCGTATTGATTATAAATTTATTATCATTTAGCTTTGTTTTGAGTTGAATGTGTCGGAGGAAAGATTTTATGGGGGAAGGTAAAAACACCATTGATCGTGCCGATGATATATTACATATTACAATACATTTCAACTAATACTGACTTATGATTACAGAGTTTAGCAAATCAATTTATTTCTACCTTAAGTGTACATTTGCAAGGAAGTGACACGGGTATAAAGGTACAATAGGTATGCCAATCTACAGCATGAATGGACTCACTTTATTAATATTACTATAATGGAAATTTGCTTGTGATTGCGTCGTTGTGGGTGAAAATTTAGTACAAATATAAATAATAATAATAATAATAATAATAATAATAATAATAATAATAATAATAATAATAATAATAATAATAATTAAATTTTTTTGGGTACCGGTACATTCCGTAGTTCTATTCTTCACTGTGTGCTTCAAACAAGCCAAAAGTGATTTAGGGGTTACCCGACTCAGATCTAAAATTAAACCCTGTACACAGAACTATAAAACAGACTCCCAAGATTAGTACGGTATTCTTATTAGCTCTGATAAATTTAACATAGCAGCCCAGGGGAAGATAAAAACTTTATCATAGACATGTTAACACCTAAAAGGATTACAGAGTCTGATGCATGTGGTAGAGAAGAAGCCTATTTTTTAAATCATAAAGGTAATTAGAGGTAAACACATTTAAATTTAGGTTTAGGTGTAATTTTTCCCAAACTTACGTGAACATTTTGTGATAAAAGTGTTTATGAAAACATTTTTATCACAAAAACACAATTATCGCATATTACCGTAAATTTGGGTTATTTTGCAAACACGTCTATTAGTTTCATCGTCAATAACATTTGTAAGCCTACTATTTTACATGATATAAACAGCTGTGAACCAAAGAAGAATGCTTATAAAAATACATTTCGAGTGTCCTGCAATAATTCAAGTCATACAGGACTCTATATGCCGCCAAGTTCTGTCTCTTTGTTTTGTTCTAATCATATGTGTTTCGTCAATAGCCTCCTTTCAAGTCATACAGTATTAGCATCACCCCAACTTTTGTGTTTAAAAACATTGTTTTAGGTACGGGAAATATTGCTGTTGATTACCTGTTTTCGGTCAGTTTATACAGTGTTTATAAAGCTAACGTTTTAAAAAATCTTAACAAGTGGAACCATAGGTCGCTCTTTACACTTTTTTTAACACAGAAAAATATGAGAAAATGGTTTTAATTCTTTGTTTCCAAAAATCAAATTATTAAAATTGTACATGTAAAGGAATCTCTTTTATACCATAACTCTATTTTTATATGATGTAAAATATTGATGTTGATGAGCGATACATGCGGTAAATTGTACTACTGAATTGACGAATAAAAGTGGGATGAACCCACAAAAGAGAAAAAAAAACAAAAAACATTTGTGTTCCTTGTTCTGTTTCACTGCGATTCTTATTTTACAGGGGTAATAAAAAGTTGGTGTATCAGACAGACACATGCGTACTGTGTACATCCTGAAAACTTTTTGTATTTTGACTGACTATTATTAAACTAATGACATATTCACACAGAAATTTCTCGCGACCCAATTTTGGGTCATGACCGCTGGTATAGACCTAGTACAATTTAAAAGTAGGCCCCTATAATTTAAAATTGCAAATAAAAAAAAGAATCTCCACCAAGATGTATAACGATTGCTTTCAATCGGCAGAGATTATCTTTAGCCAGCCAGATCAACTCTAAAAATAATTTGGCCCTTCTAACCAATTAATTAAGAACGTAATGTAAAGGCCTAAGTGTATGCCCTACGCAAGCCATACTAGAAAATATTTTTATATTGAATTGACCCATCGTCAATCGGCTCAACGAGAAAACAATAACGATAATATTTAATTATTATTATTATTATTATTATTATTATTATTATTATTATCGTTATTATTATTAATAATGTTATTACCATAAAATTACAGATTGACAATAAACTCTTTTTCAAGATTGTAATAGCCGACTACATCTTTATAACGGCAATCCTAATATTTCAGCCTCGTTTCAGCAATCAGCACCCTCCTACAGAGATTAAAAGAAGACTCACGAATCCTACAGGCTCATCAGAGATTAAAAAAATCACAAATACTAGCAATTAGTGGCCTCCTCGGGAGATTAATAAAACAAAAATAATCCACACCTGAAGATTTCATGAAAATGCCATGAAATGCGAACTACCCAAAAGTCCAAGGGACAAAACTTTTTTAGCACATCTAAAACTAAAATGGATTGAATTTTCGATGACCCTGTCACCTTAGCTGACGACTGATTTCATACATTAGGCTAAATGACTCATCAAGTCGTTCTCACCAACAGTCAAATCACTTTCTTCTTAAAAAGGTCGTTAGTGAAAAGAAATACTAATTTCCGTTTCATTTAGAGTTTGTATAGTTTAATTTTATCTAGTCCAATTGAAAAAAACGCCAGAAGCTAATATCTCCTGACACCGACGCTTCAGCAAAGGGCTACAGCCTGTGATAATTTTGTTAGGCGCCCTACACACCTAACAATTAAGTTAACTTCTGCTTAAAAAAACAACAAGCTCTAAACCCTAATCTAGATCCTGTCATAATTCGTAGTCAAGACGACTCGTGGTCAAGGCAGCTGTTGTATTGTAATTTCAAGAGGGACAGTATAGCTTAACACTAGCCTACGTAAAAAGTATCATTTTTGCCAGCCCAAGAGTTCTAAATTAACTTAAATTCGCTAACTAGTCTATTCTGATCAGAGGAACTCTGACAATGCCAATGAAAATACGACACAAGAGTGCAACATAAAACGTAGGCCTATGCCAACATGATTAAACGCAAAACTAGCAACGGAAGGGAAACCTTTAAATAACTTATCTTATACAGTAAATAGGCATGATAATAAGATATAAAAAAACGAAGTAAAATGAATTCATCCTGAGGTCAATGAGAAGCGAGAAGAGAGAATGGACAGGATCAGATAATGATCAAACAGTTATAAACATAGCCATATACAATACACAGAAAACAATGCAAAGAATAATATAAACGTATGTACGGATGTTATTGTATATCCTTAATAATAATTAATATATCATGTGACCAATATCAAGTGAGAGTTACGACGTCTGGAAAATGTGCCCTAAATGAACACCAAAACATGGACATTTTTATCCAACCACAATATATTTTTCGGAATCACTCACAATGACTGGACTAGGCCTTATATATTTTCCAAATCAGCTTATTATAACATTCAGTCTAGCGCCTTTTACATATTATAATAATTTTTTAATCAACAACACTCCGAGGTGTCTGCCAGTTTCATTAGGCCTGTAAGCCTACTGTTATTAACTAAACTCTAGACATAAACCCTCCTAAAAGTTCAAATACGCAAATTTATATGTTCTATTTATTTTCCCGTCTATATTATTTTTGATATAATCGTTGACAGATTTTTTTTGGCGGGGGTTGGGGTGGGGGTTGGCTTGCAAATCGCACATAGTCAACAACATAACTGCTGCAAATTGTACATTCCTGTTGCTTCGTCTCACAATTTATGACTGAGCTATTTTTTTTACCCACTGTACATCACACAAAGCGTGAAACTTTCAACTTTTATTATTATGTGAGAGCCATCTTTTCTCTGATGCAACAGAATTCACATTGATAAAATAAGACCTCTGCTGCTTACATATATTCAACATTATTAATAAGTGAGGCGACGGCTGCTACAAACGGATCTCTTTATTTCAAGTGAGCCAACTTTTAACTGCTGTTTCATCGCAAGCCAGCAAATATGAAGTGTGAGTATATTTTAACTCCTGAATACACGTTTCACATTAGTGTGTGCCAACTACAGCTTCGAATAATGGCAAATCTCGAGTGAACCAACTTCAGCTGCTGCAACATATCACGTTATAATATATATCGAACAGATTTAAAACTCTTGATAACTCATGTACAGTAAGTGTAAACCAACCTACACTACTGCTTCAATTCTTACCTGCTACCATGTGTTCAAAACAAAAATTCCGAGGACTTTTTCAGAATCCAAATTTTAATCCTTCTTGATTATGTTGTCATTACTTTAAATCCAACAAGTATGTACTTCTCCCGCCTTTAACAAGTTAAGTTTGTTAGTGTGTCTTGTGAAGTTGTGACCTGTTACGTACAGCAGTTGAAGTTAGGAAGCTGACATATCCCCTACCTTCCGCGTTCTTGATTGAGTCTAGAGAAACGGAGAAACGCTGACACATCATTAGGTTTATTATAAACTAAAAATGTATCCGCGATGACAAATACTTTTCGCCAGTACTGTAGTAAAATCAATGTCATGAACAACATTACATCATAGTATACTATTAGTGCTTATTTCATATATCGTGATTGCAGACAGTATTCCAAAAAGATTTTTTCCCTTTTTGTTAAGGAATAGGCCTATTATTTTAATTGTGGTGTATTTACTATTAATTTTAACTTAAAATTTTATTTGATATTTATTACCATAACGTTTTGGGCCGCAAATGGCATTATTACTTTTATATAAATTATAAAATGTTAATTTGAATAGGTCTATACTACTTTGAAAGCCTCTTTGTTTATTCATGATGATACAATATTCTATATTATTTAATATAATTATGTTACATAGGTATGCTCGGTATGTTAATTACGGTACTTATATATATTTGTAGGGCTAAATTGTTAAAATCATGCGATAATATAAACTATGAACGAATTTGAGGATACACGACAACTATATTACACAACTTTACAATCTCAAATACATAATAGTTTCTTTGTTTACATCAGGTTCTTAGTTGATTAAAATCATTTTAAATTGACGTAAAAAATAAGCGACCAATTTTTCAAAACAATACCGTGCTAGTGATTTAATAAAACAGTGTAGAGGGCGCACATCATAAATTGACTTTATGGTAATTGTACAGCCATTATTAAAGATTAGGCCCTATTAATTGTCGCATAACAAATATCTTTAATTATAAAAACCCTAACATATATTATTTGATCACGTTCGTACTCCGGTGGGAAATGTTGTACAAATAAGTATTCTAAGACATTGAAGGGAGTGTTTAAAGAAATTATTTTAATAGGCCTATAGGTACGGTACTGATAGGCACGAGAGAGCAGTTTAGCTCAGTGAGAGAGATAAGTTAGCTCAGTGAGAGAGCAGATTGCTCAGCAGTTGACAGAGCAGCTTAGCTCAGTCGGCTAATCTGGTGGTAGCCGCTGTGTGTGCGCTGAACCGTGGAGATCTCTCGGTCCCCTGTTCAATTCCCATCGCTACAATTCTCGGATGTGCACGTTAAAGAACGCAGTACCACAGACCCTATATACAAGTACGCTCGTGGCCCGGTGTACTGCCCAATCACCACCAGAAGGACCCCACTGGCGAGTTTGTTAGTGCCGAGTTTGTTAGTGCCGAGTTTGTAGGGTGAAAGTTTGTTAAAGGACGAGATTGTTAAGATACGAGTTGTAGGGTGGAACTGTGTGGAATTGGGGGGGGGGGATGGTGTCAAGGGGTGAGTTTGTAAGGGGCGAGATTGCAAGGTACGACTTTGCCGGGGGCTAGTTGACTGGATCCCATTTTTTTCTTTGAAAGATTAAATAATTGCCTGGGCCTAGATTCATAGGCCTATTAGAAAAGAATATTAAGGCTCATAATGTAGGCCTAACAATGACCTAAAACTATTTTTGTTTTCAATTATGAAACGAAGATAAAGTTATCCAAGATATATCATGGAACGTCAATCCCTTACACGGAGAGCACTTTTTAAGAAAGTCGTTCTGCCATAATCATATGGCTTTCAGTAATTAAGTTTACATCAGATTAAACGATAAACATCACCTTCAGTACTTTAATTATAGCATTGAGTACCGGTATAATGTAAATTTACTATTGTATATAAGAATGTATTTCAATTAATTATGTTGATATAGTTATTATGAAGGAGGTATAAGCTTTATCACCTTCAGTAACTTTAAGATTAAAATAGTATATTATAGTAAATGTAAAATAGTATAATATAGATCAATTTTACATTGGACCCCAATGGAAATAGACCCTTCAGGCTCTATTGGGTTATCTTGGAAAATCCCAATACGCTTTCTATTTTGATATTCATTTTTTATTAGGCCTATTTCCTTTTTTTTTCCTTTACCAAAGTTTCGATGTAATTTTTGTGCAATGATTTTCCGAATAAACTCAAATCAAATCAAACACAGTGCTCCGAGCTCTCTTGTTTGAAAGCTTAGAGTATATATAGTCACAATAATCGAGTCAGTACTACTACTGTTTCCAGTTATTTATAATCCGACTACCGTAAAGGCCTCGAATTGAAGCCCAAAGGCTTAATCTCTAGAAAAGCCCATCTCGAATTGAAGCCCCCTCTTTAGTTTGCAAAAGTAGCCTCGAAAATCAAGATAGCATGGGATTCTTTTCGAGATAGTACAGTACATCCACTGTACATGAATTTCAAAGAAACAAAATAAATTAAAAATACGCTTGGTTTATACAGTATTTTAGGTGATTTAATGCCGGTTAATGGGACTCAATGATACAGATTACAGTGGTCTTATTTATTGTTTTTAGTATTTAAGATATAATATAATTTTATTTTTTTATAATTTATGGCCCTACCACCCGGTCTTCTTCGCCTTGAGACGATTTTATTGTGGAAGGCGCACTACATATATCCCACCATTACCATTACCATTAATTCCCAAAATGTACAGCATTTATTTTGAAAAGAAGGCCCCTCTTTACTTTGGTTTAACAATACCGGTACTGCTCATTTTTGGTATTCAACTATAATATATACAAGAAACTTTAAAAAAATCTAAATCGCATTATGGGACCAGGGATGGTAGAGTGAAAAGTCCTAGTGTTTTAATTCAGGTGAAAATCTTCTTCCTAACGAAGAGCCCTGTGCGGTCGACTGCTTTTGTAGCTCATATTATATAGTATAGACTGTTTCCAGTGTTTATTTTGGGTTGAACCAATTGGACATTAAGATCTAAGTCGGCACATTTCTTATTCGCAATTTAGCCTTATTTTATTGGAAATGGGCAATAGTTTTAGTTCAGATGGCATTGAAAATAAAAATGCCTATCGGTTATGTAACAGTTTCTTACTGAAATGACAATGAGATGAGATTAATACATACGGTGTAATATATAAAAATAGATATTACCAAAGAATATAGTATTCCTTGATATTACCCATCTCTTTTTTTAGCAATGAAGATATTGGCCGTATTCGACTGGTCGTTCTTCGTTAAACCACGCCCACCGGCGCAGAGTGGTAAAATCCTACTTTTAACGAAGACGATCAGTCGAATTAGAAAACTAATACCCGACAAGACAAAATGGCTGCATAGTTACCGCGATACACGCTAATCAAGATTGCTTCGGCTTGTGGCAGTATGGGCTTTTCGTATAATAAATGTTTGTGTCTACTACTGCCCCTCATGGAGCAGTAGACACTATGTTGTCGCGCAACAGTTGACCTTTCTAATTTCCGGTGGAGGTCATGTGTAGGAGGATATCTTAGTAACAGGAACAGTTGTATAAGGATATCACGATCACTGTAATGTATCTATTACAGAGTAAATACCAAGGTGTACTGTAGTGTATACAATGAATAGGCAATTTATACATGACAGTAAAATATCAACACCCCCACTTACTCTCATGATGTTTAACCATTAAATCATTAATCATTTTCCAAACAAAATTTTCTAAAAAAATAGGCAGAGACACACGCTCCCGCTTGAATTATGTTAGCCTACAATTATTTTTTTACTTCATCATGTGGGTATATGTTATAATTGTTATTTTCTGATATTTAATCTAAATTATATTAACTCAAATGTTGTTTATAAACTGACCAATCGGCCATATTTGTTTTGGTCACGTGGATAACTTAACGCTGATTAACGCACTCTAGCAAGGGACTCTAGTTTACGTTAATTTTCGTTGTCAACGAAGTCTATTACGACCAGTCGAATGAAAATATACTCAACTGAGAATCGTAGTCAACGAAATGAACCAGTCGAATAAGCCTATTACAGGCATACGTTGGTGGCGTTGTCTATTCTTTTGTTCGTCCGAAGTTTGCCGTGTTTTGCCGACGTAGAGCGATCAAAACAAATAGGTGAAAATGGCCCAGCCTTGTGCTGCTAGTGTCTTAGAATGGGTCCCAGAAACTCTTTACAATTCGGCAATTACGGCTGTAGTAGTCAGTTATTCAAAACATAGGAAAGAATTAAGATGTCTGACAGAAAATATACAATTTGATGTTTATTATAAGGTAAGCATAATGCAGCAAAATTATGTTTGAATTGCAGAGGCGTAACCAGCCTCCGCACAGGTCATCTTCCACTGCTGCACTGCAGCGCTTCAGCCTGGGCTAACCTTCTAGCCTGTCAAGTTCATTATGTCCGGCCAAAATATTACATCTGTTTCAATATTTTTGTATATTTCGGCTTCATTTACATTCAAATAATATGCATTTTACGAAATAGTACTTCAAATATTGTATTTAAACACGTTATAGACTATGATTTTGTACTGAATTAAGGATCTGTGCTCTGCATGCAGGAAGCCATCTAACTAAACGAGGAATGAATACTGATGATAGAAGTAGTAGGTAGAGCTAGGAGTTAATTAAAGCTAGCCTTGGTCTGCCTTCTACAATAGCCCCTCCTATCTAGCCACTTAAATTGTAAAGCCTGTCTGTGTGCTGCTGCTTCCACATGCAATAATCGTAACTTCTTATAGTCAAAATCACATCACATCATCATAACAAAACACTACAAAAGATGTCAGAATGCAAAGTACAAATATTGCATTAATATTATCTCATTCATACAGTATCATTTACTTCATAAAGCAAGAGAAAATACATAGGGGGCAGCTGACTTGAAAAAGTTATAGTGATTTGTTTGCTTAAGCTGCCTGCCAACCTTGTTGGTCTAATAAATAAACTGAAACTAAACTGAAATACAGTACATTATTATAGGCTTATCCTAAGCCAACTGTATGAGATACTTTTTAACAAGCATGAAGTTTTAATTACATAACTGGTAAATATTAATGCACGTAAAATTAACGTTATGTAATATTATGTTGCATAACTATACATTCCACACTCTAAAATATGTTATTTGTGTGGGGTAACTAGTTCAAATTTGTGCAGTAAATCGGTGTGCGGAAATTGGCCCTTATTTTTAAAATGCAAAGTGAATTTCTAGACCTAAATTAAGTCACTGATCAACATAAATGCACTATTTTTTAAAATCTTTTGAGTAGTGCCATGTTAATAAATTTTTAATTGAGTGAAGTTACAATGCACCCTCTGATTCTGAGACCCTCTCTCTAATTCAAGACAACTTTTCAAATAACCATAAGCCCCTTTCAGACAGAAACAACTCTTCACGCGTTCCAACAAAAATGTTTCGCACTTTGACCTCTGATTTGTTATGCTTCAGTGCGTAAGACAGCAATGAACCGCTACGGTATTAATGCGGTATTTTGACTAGGTCCTGAGGAGGTCTAACCTAAGCCGGTGTTTAGGCGTATTTACCCTTTTACATAGTATGCCGGCGTTTGCGAAAAACGGTATTAATACTGTATTGCAGCTGTGTGTGAAAGGGGCCAAGCTAACCCTCTATGTGGAGACTGAACTGAGAGACCACCCCAAATTTTCAGGTCCCAAACGTGGTCTTGAATTGAAGGACAAACTTTAATCTGATCCCAATAAGCCATTTCGTAGTTTTAACTGAGCATGCCCATATCAACGTCAATCGACAGAAACAAACATACACCAGACACACACTACACAGGTTTATGTCGACTGACCTTGTTACGGGCATGCAGAGTTCAGACTAACCAAATGGCATATTCCATACTACATTCTATTTTCTACCCATTTCTTTTCTAAAACACTGTTTTATACTAATTTTTTTTCATAATTTTCTCTACAATATTCTACAGCTACTCTTTTCAACTAAATTTGACTACTATCTGGATCTTCTGGTCTCCGACATGTTTTTCCTTGTAAAATATAATGTTAAATCATCCTTTAGTCTCATTAATCCCAAAAATGTCTTGCTCCTTAAAGTTTAATGATATTAAAGGATGTGAGATGAGATTGAACTTCCTGTGACCCCTCAGGGAGTTGATAATGTATTCTCTGTATAACAGTTGCAATGCTGTAATGAATACTTTAGGTCATTAGTACATTGCAGATATTTTTTCACCTGCATGGCTCATGGATAATGATGTTCATTGTATAAATAAAATATTCAACATAGTAAGGCATACAGGTTTAATCCCTGGTCCATAAATTTTTTACTGTAATTTGTAACTTCCGGGTACATAATATGAATGAAGTTTTCCCTTAAATTTTGGAATGTTGGATAGGGGGTGTAAAAATGATTGTGTCACTTTGAACTTTGACATTTTATGGCATATGCAAAACAGTTCACTACCTTTATTTTGAATTGAGCAATAATGTATCTTACTGTATTTCTGAAAAAAAATATTTATGTAATTTTTAATTTGTTATATTTCAGCTGTACACCCAGGGTCGACTATGTCAGCTAGGAATGGAATTTTGTGAATTAGATATCTTTGCAAAGGTTCTGACTGTGAGTGATAAAAGGTAAGTGAAGTGGCATGCTTTCAGTCAAAAGCCTTCTTTGTTGTTAGGTGTAGAGGTAAGTGAAAAGTAGTACCCAGAAGCCATCATAGTTTCAATCTTTTCTATAAGTTGTGGTGTTGCTTTGGAAATCAAAAATGCTGGTGTGCGATCCTTTTTGAGTCTACCAATAACATTGTCTTTTTGGAACCATGTACATTGCATTTTTAACCTATAGCAAAGCACAGTAATACTCCTAATAACCTACAGTATTCAGACTGTACTGTGCTCTGTTGCAGTCAGTTGCGATGTAATCGGTAGTAATCCAAAACTGATTACTCTTATTCGTAATCAAGGAGCGCATTCAGATTAAATCAAACACAAAAAACTTTATATTAGAACGTGCAGTCAAACGGTACAACCTGTAGGCCTCCGGTGGCTAGACCTGTATTGACTGACCTCAGCCAATCAGTGCTTGTGGAATTTGTTGCGATCGGATTCTGTGGTTATTGGGAGACTGTAGCACCCAATCGCATTGTGTACAATAGAGGGATTTGGTGATCACATGACCTAACTTGAGTGTTAGTAAATATAAACAATTGACTGGGACAACGGTGTTTTACAGTACGTGGAGATTGCTACTGCGGCTATCCCTTGTTTATTGCTATAAAGATCATTATAATTTCCAGTAAACTATACCAAATTGATTTTAAATTAAACTTGAGAATTTTGCGTTAGTGGTTTGCTAATGTTGTAAAGGATACTTGCAGCAAACATTGAGATTTTTCGACAAATGTTAGGCCTACGCCCCTGCACATTTACGGTATGGTTAGTTATGCATGGTGGTCTTCGACCCGCAAATCATCCTGCGATGTTAAGGCTAGCCAAGGTTTATGAAGAATCACTTAAATTTCAAAGCATACAATCCTTGGAGAACAATAGGATAAGTAAAGACACACTATTTTGAATAATCGTATTGCCTTTCCTAGCCATTTATTTCTCACCTTAACAGTGGTCAGTTTTTTCGTAACCAGAACATTATCTTTTCCAATACTATCGCACTGTAATGTTTTTCATGTATGCCCAAGTTAAGTCACGTGATTGGCTGTAAACAAACATCGCCGAATTCCTCTATTACGATATTGATTATTAATTAATTACTATTGGTGAGCTTTTACACACAACTGGAATTGCGATTAGGTGTCTGAATAGGAATAAATATTTCTGGTCTTGAAATAACGGGAAGGACGTTTTCCAATGGCAGCTTAAGTTTGCAAACTTGCATTGTAATCACAGCTTTCGCAGTCCGGTTGAGAACAGTACATATAAATTTGGTACTCGGGGGTGGGTGTAAAATTAAGTGATACAACCGAAGTAAAAGGGCCACGCCTAAGCTTTGACATTTAATTTTCTCGAAAAACATTCATGCACTGATTTTATACAGGTTAATATTCAGTTTTTAGTTACTTTTCACTGACGATTGGTATCGGGCTGTAATTCGTCTATATAAGTGGTTGCCTTCAATGATAAAAAAAGTATATTATTATATTTTCAAGTTCTAAGAAACACAAGGAAAAGAACAACATATAAATTACACTAGGAATATTTACAGTTCCGATGAACGATATTAGTCAAGCCTGGACTAGTGTTCCCTAGAAATGTTTAGAGGCTAGACAACATAGAAGTAATTTGAGAGAATTATTGATCTGTGAATAGAGAAATGTTCACTTTTTCTGTAACCATCATGACATCATCATGTACTATTTGATCATTGGTGATTGCAGGATTGACATTTGACCCGAATGTATTAAAATGTTATTCTATATTTTGTGGTTACAGTAACAAGCCTAATGAATGTGCAAGTCATGAAATACATTATTCAAAATATGAAAACAGAAAAGGGGAAATTTTAGGTACAGTTCCACGAACAATAAACAGATACTATTCTCCTGAAGACGATTGAAGCAACTCAATCGAAACTTTGAGATATTCTCAACCAACAACAACATTTCTTTTCAGAATTCTCTGTGTGGCGTACAGTACCACAAGCATTAATATATAAACAATAAACAAACAATATATCTTTTAAAAAGATTTTAACTGACCAAATATAGATGAAGATTAGTTGTTAACCAGCGACAATGATAAACATCTGAATTGTTTAAAGAGTGTGTTTTTTATCAACATCATTATAATAATCAAAATATTTATTCAACATTAAATTATGTTTGGTTTAAACAAAATTTATTTATAACACTAATATTTATTTTGTTGTAGGTTTGTATACCATGCTCTAAATGAGATTATATTTCACTTAAGCCCTGTAAGACTATCAAATTTTACATTGACAAAAAACTGTTATATGCCCATATATAGTCATGATGTGATGTCATCATTAGGGCTTGTCACATGTTTTTGTCAAATACTGTACATTACTGGTGGGCAAAGTGCGACCCAACAGTGATGTTTTTGCGGCCAGTAAAGATGAATTAAAAACCCTATGTGTGTGGCCCACCAAGAAACATTGACTAGAAAACACCTTGTTTTTTACGGCCCGACACCGATCATATATAAAAAATAACATTAAAACTGAAAATAAAGTGGTGTAAAAGCAGTGATTGGTGGTTTTTGGAAGCACACTGGAAACATGAAAGTTTGGGTGTGGCCCTCGGTTTTAAATCAAAAATTCACTTTGGTCCTCTGGCCGAATTTTATGCCCACCCCTGCTGTACATTTATAGTCTGGATAGGGCTTTAGTTAAGATCGGCTCAAACATTGACAACAGGCCCTCAGGAATTAATTTAACTTTTGTGCAATGATCCATTTATATAAATTAGTTGTTATTGTTTTGTTGATGCTACTATATTGTAGTTTATTTATTATTATTTTTATTCTATTATTACTATTAATATTATTTATGTTATTAATTGGTATTATCATTTAATTATTTTTATTCATTGGTTGGTATTGTTATTTATTATTATTATTATTATTATTATTATTAAATTATTAATTTTATTATTATTAATATTATTATTATTTATTATTGTTGTTTATCTTTGATATATATACTGTATATATACTGTCTCTTATACACATCTAGATGTGTATAAGAGACAGGTATTGACTGACCTCAGCCAATCAGTGCTTGTGGAATTTGTTATTATTAATATTTATTTTTCATATTATTAATATATATTATTCATATTATTTATTATTCATATTATTATTGTTGTTATTATTTCTATAATTATTATCATTATTTATTGTGTAATGTAAAGTTCCTGTCGAATGTATGCCTTGCATTTCAGGCATTTACTGCACCACTGTTTCCAGGCGCTGATGGACCATGGCGTTAAAGTAGCAACAGTCCTTGCCGAGTCATTCAAGTCTCACTGTGCTCAGATCCTCTGCTCCCAGCGAACACAACTAGACAAAGCAATCCAGCTTGGTTTCTCTTTAGGTACGTTCTTATGAAACATTAAATTATTTGTTTCCTATGTCTTCATCAACTCTATACAGTACTTGTACTATAAATGTTTATTTTCATATATTAAGCTGGAATCACACACTTTGCCTGTCCACAATCAGCTTCCGCAATATAATTGCAACCGCAAAACAATACGTCCAGTGGATCATAGTGCTTATTTGACTTTTTCATTTCGTTGAGTATTATTTTCATTTGACTGGTTCGTAAAGTATACTTTGTTGACAACGAAAATTAACGTAAACCAGAGTGCGTTAATCAGCGTTAAGTTATCCACGTGACCAAAATAAACATGGCCAGTTGGTCAGTTTAGCAACAAAATTTGCGTTAATATAATTTAGATTAAATTTCAGAAAATAAAAATTATAATATTTACCCACATGAAGTCAAAAAATAATTGTAGGCTAACAGAATTTAAAAACTGGATGGAAACCTTTTTACTACCACAAGCCAAAGAAACCTTGATTACGCAGCGTGTATTGCGGTAACTATGCAGCCATTTTGTTTTGTCAAGTATTTACCAGTTTTCTATTCGACTGGTTGTCTTCGTTAAGTAGGATTTTACCACTGCGCAGGTGGGCGCGGTTTAACAAAGAATGAGCAGTCGAATACGGCCATAGTTTACAATGATCTGCTCAGTCTGTCACTGGTAAGCAGCAGACGACGACATCTCATAATTGCTCACTTGAGTGGAGTTGAATAGCTTGGTGGTTAAGGTGCTCGATTTCCAATCCTGGGTCTTGGGTTCAAATCCTGTCAGATTCCAGGTTTGTTCTCAAAAGAAAACAACTCCTGTCCATAAACCTCATTATGAGACCATTTAGAGCATCATGTGTTTATGTTTGTCACCTATCAAATAGGACAGTGATTGAGTCGCTATTTGTAATCCATGGCCATGTGCCTGACGAAATAAAATTTTTAAAAATTAAATAAATGAAATTAGAGAGATAGATTTGTAGGCTGGCTATTTTTTGACGACAGACCTTTACCAATCACAAATTTACTAATTTTGTTATTGCCAAAACTATAGCAATCTTTAAAATTTGTTACATCATACAGTAGGGCATCTTCTTATGTTCCAAGTGTATGTTGTAATTTTTACATGTTTTACATTAGAAATGAAAAAATAAATAGTTGTCATTGACCAACAATATTATTATATTCTTTTTAAAAATAAATGGAACAAATTTTGAAATCTACATCATGAAAAAGGGATTAATATTATAATCACATTTGATTATTGATGTAACCAGCAGTGTTTATTATATTTTGAGGAATCCCTAATTAGATGTAGTTAATGGATATGAGATTTTGAAGAGGAGGATAATGACACTTAATATCTACATTCTATCTATCAGTCTGTCTTCTATACATACGTACAGTACTTGTTTGGAAATTTATCTGTCAGTCAGATGGCTGAGTTGACAGGGGTGCCGCAATATACAGTCATAATATTAGTGCTTGTTCGAATGGCACACTAGCCAATGGTTCTGGAGGTAGAACAAGTCTTCTCGGCTAAGGACTATAAACTGTAGTTCCAGTGTAAACAATTGGCTCGTGCACTATAAAGAATCCAGTACATCTTTCGAGATGAGTAGGGGGTTACCCCGGTGTACTGGTCCATACAACCCCTGTTGTGGACAGATTAGAGTAGCTAGTAGCGAGTAACCGGGTAGTTCAGACACAAGAGACACTTAGTAGAGAAGAGAGTACTGTATGAGCGCTTTGAGATTTTGGTGTAAAGAGCTATATAAATCCAACTATTATTAATATTATTATGAAACACCAGGATTATTTCTCACAACTAAAAACTCCTATTTGTAGCCCGATAAAAGACTTGAACCTAGCTTATGCATCGTTGTTTCATCCTAAGTGGCAAGTGTAGTTTGCAGTTGAATATGAAAGAAATATTTGTGAAACAAACAAAAAAAAAAGAATAACAGATTTTGCTTTTAATATGTCTGTCTAGTGATATCTAATTTTATGTCTGTATGAACTGTCTGTGTGAAAATTTTATTACACTGTACCAATGTTTCTATCTACTGTATCTGAAGTATTATCTACAGCTGGCACATTCACAAGACTTAGTTTCTCTGGAGATAAACGTTAAATAGAACTAGAAAAATGCTAGGATGAAAGTGCCTTATCTCTAGAGAGTGTAAGCACCAACACAATAGGTTATATCAGGTTTATGTGACCTTGCCAATAATGTATGTGTGTACATTCGAAGATTTTCATGCATTCATATTATTTAGCTAACAGTCGGTTACTAACACTGAACAGACAGACAGAATGACAGATCGATGGATAGATGGATGGATGGATTTTTAATGGATTCTAGTAGATAGATAAATTGAGGATCAGTTGGTTAAACAAGTCAATTGATTGAGACAGAAGATCGACTGATCAATATGCACATAACAGAGAGACATACAGTAACGCCATACATTATTTGTGCGAGTGTTAATTAAAGTGGATTTAAAATGCTTTCCATAATGATGTTGAGAAAACCTTTTGACCTTCTTGATCATAATTCCCATAGCAATTAATAAACAAATATAATTGATTTCATAACATGATCTGTTTTCATCTGTAACAACATAATTGGTTGTTATGATTATTGGCAATTAGTAAACAAGATATAAACAACTACTGTACTTCATTAGGTAGCTTTGTGTCAGTATTGAAATATAATCTTTATTGACAACTCAGCGTGCTTGTTGTACTCAAAACAAAGCGACATTCCGAAGCATTATACCTTCACAGACCATTGTGATTTTGGTAAAACCAGGGGTCCTAATTAAAAGAAGCCACTTTAATTAACACACTTTAACTTTGTCAACACACCCTTTTTTATTTTTTGTGGTGATATGCATCAGCACTGACTTCCGGGAGACAATTGTTAATACTGTAGTAAACATGCAGATATTATGAATTTACGGCAGATGGGTTATTTTCCGCGAGGTTTTTGCTTGCTCGTGGGACTAGAAAGCCATAAAGATTTTCTAGAGACTCCTGTGACTTGCGGAAAAACATTGGTTTGGGCTCCTTGCAAACACATTTAATTCTTTATATATGTGTTAAAATTGTCTAAGCTGTTTGTCCTGTTGTTGGCTATGATGCTGTGAGTACCTTTATAGATTCACTGTTGGTATCAGATACAGTAAGCAAGTCTACATCTAAAGCACATTTTTAATATCAATTTATTATAGATAATGTACTTTATAACACCTACCAGCAATATATTGCAGTTTGGTTATGACCCAACAAAATTGCTGTAATATGTGGTAGCAATATTAATAACTTGGACTCAAATTCAACCCTGGCCATCAGGCGCAAGCTTGGTGGTCTAGAGGTATAATGCCAGGCTAGTGATCTGGAGATTGTGGGTTCGAGTCCCACCCGAGAACAACTTGCGATTTTTTCGCAGTTGTTTTCAAATGTACTGAGTATTCGGTACATTTCCACGTCAGGTAGGGCAAAAATTACACCTATACATGTTTCTCCTGACGCAAATCCAGTTATTGTCTATTCCATCACGACAATAACAATTACTATCAATATTAATAACCTCGTTCCCGTCATTAGGAAATTATCTTGTAATGATTGATTGATTGTGATTGACAGGTGGGTTCTTGACAGAGGCCGGTTGGTACCCCCAGGCTGAGAAGGCCACAGAGGCATGTCTGACGTTGTGCTCGCAAACAGAAGAGATAAAATATTTACGTAAAGCTCTGGAGTGTTGCATCAGGTAATGGCCGGCTCTACATCAGATAAACACCTTATGCCTGTTAATTAAATTGTTTATTTATCTGTGTATATATTGTTTGATGATAGATTGATTGACTTTTAATTGTGTTTTAATTATTCAACAATTATGGATAACAAAGTTAAACACGATATGGCTCTCAAAATGTCAAATCGAGCTGTACAAACATTATTATAAATTAATACATCAAAGCAATCAAATACATTTTGTGAATGGAAAATATGATTGAAATACTCTTTCTCCAAGCTTAATTAATTTTATTGATATAATTTTCTGAAACCCATCTACACTTATAAATTATTATTCTTGCCAGACCCTCCTGTTTTGGTCTACATTATATTGTAATCTTCTCATTTAATTTTTAAAATCATTTTCTTTATAATCCTTATCATCACATTAACAGACTTATCTTACATTTTCTCCATGATATGATAATTCCACATTCTTCTGGATAACCTTCACTTAACATATTTTCAGTATTCTAGATAAACTCTTTATCTTTTCTAACCTCACTATATAATTCTTTGGAAGTTAATCTCAAATTAGTTTCCTTCGATCCTGTTCTGTTTCTTATAAGGAATCATCATTACCTATCACCATAGCACTCATCAAAATTCATTTATAATTATGTCCAGTTATCAATATGTTGTTGTTTGCAGGCTTGTATACGTTCGCAATGCTAACTGTAAATATCAATCATCAGAGGAAACGTATAGACGGGCTTTGCGAACGGCCGACAAGCTGATGGCACGCAATTCAGTGGTGAACTTAGCAGCGGTTCATGGTGAAATGTGTGCACTACTTTATGCTAGGAGTCAATATGATGAGGTATGTACTTTTCATTCTATATATGCTTTAAAGCGCTGTCCTTACTATCAAATTTTATGTGACAATGCCCATATTTGGGTGTAATTGGACATCATCATGTCCATATATGGGCACATCACTATAAATTTGATAGTCTGGACAGAGCATTAGGATACTAATTATACTGTAGAAATATTTTTGGATTTTAACTGGTATTGCAAGTACTATTATTGTTATATTATTATTATTATTAAATAAATGAATAATATTTACAAATACTGTACAACATTGTTTGAGGTGTCCTGAGGTGTTGGTTGATTGAAAGCTACTGACACGATGATGAGAAAGGTAGTCGCAATCATCCAACAGCAAGGGAAGTAGAATTCACTGCTTTTACTGGAATAAAACCATGTGTTTGTTTTTCTATACCTCATAATGTTAAACAGCAAACCATCCATCTGCATAGCCATTTTGAACTGTGAGGGTAAAATTACACAGTTTGCATATGGTTCATGTAGGCAGGGGTGCTGTAGTTGATTTTGGATAGTACTTTTTTCTCAGCGTGCATATAAATTTGACACGCACAGGAAAGTGGAAGAAACTACCGCAACACTTATTGGCTGGAATTGACCAATGATATGTTGTTATTGTTACCTAATTAGTATGATGTAGTACACAAATAATAAATGTTGATGACTGTTCTGAGGTAGAATATTTCATGAGGCGAAAGAGTTGAAGTTGAATAGAACATTTAATCTTTCACTTAAGAAATATTCTACCCCATTTTACGAATGAGAAACATTCATTATTTGTTTTATACAACACCTAGCTGTATTTCTCCGGATCGCCTGCATGCTCTTCTTCGAATACAAGAATCCATCTCTCTTTTAAAAGGCCAGCATAAAACATAAAACCGGCCTAGGCCTAGGAATCGATCAAGTTCACGATAGGTTAATAATTGTGACTCAAATCCTCACCGCGGAAGCAGGCGAAATACTCCTTATGGTCAACTGCATATTTTATTGCCTTTTTTGTTGATTCGGCATCACTTTCATTCAGTAATTCCTCCAAACCTTCTTTGCTCAAAAGTACAAATGGCCCAATACCAAATGGACCTGCCATTTTATCGGCGGAGTGAGGGCTACTACGGGCTGCTCGCATTGCATTTAAGATTGTTGTCGTCTTAGAGACGAAAAAGTACTGTTCGAAGATCGTTGACTAGTACTCAAATAACCATGGAATATTTATTTTAAATCGATCTCATCTGACCTGTTTTAAACCAATCAAATTAATAGAATATATATAGGTGTGCATAATAAAACCTAATACTGTCAGATGAAATTTATTGGTTTCCTACCATACAGTAGACTTGAATGTTATCTTTTTTTCTTGTAGATGATCAAATTTTATGCAGATGAGTAATGTACTCTCAATTGTATCACTAATTACACCTTACTAATTACTACTATTTTCTATTTATAGGCCCATAAACATTGTCTAGAGGCCTTGAAAAGTCTGCACTCTGGCATGCCAGTCAAGAGCTCCATAGATATATTACGACAGTCATCCAAAGCCTGTGTAGCTAAAAGACGTTTTAAGAAAGCTGAAATCCTAATAACTCATGCTGTTCAACTAGCAAGGTATTGTGGCAATCGGCATAATGTATGGCACTCTCTCTGGCCGTTAGTTGTTCAGGCTGGCGAGATTCCATGATAGTAGTTTAACTAGCCATCTCTTATTATTGAACAGGTCACACACTACACAGATGGTCCAGATTTCCCCACACGATTCCATTTAGAACACGGGAGAGGGGGTGGGGGTGGAAATGGGGCCATATGACATACTGTAGCAAATTAAAATTTTAAAAATTTATCAGAGAATTGCTTTTTATTATCACTATACCTGAGATTTTACAGGTGTATTGTTTTTAGGCTTTAGCCCTGGTATTTAGTGAATTTAGGATAGGTGAAATCAAAAAGAAAATACTGATTGTCTGCCAAACTATAAAGGCCTAGTTCAGACTAGGTGGATAAACCTGGCTCAACTCAACGGGTTTATCCACCTGCCAGTCTGAACTAAGTGGCTTATCTCAAGCTGGGCTGTGTTCCTATAGTAACTAGGCCTGGCGTGCCACCAGGTTTAACTTTTCTAAGCCATGCTTTAATCGTTGCGGGGGTCTTGCATTGACTTCGGGTAACAAAATGAACAATCAGCATTCAATTACATACGCTGTGAGCTAGCGTACGTTTCACGAGCAGTGTTTTGAAACACGTTCACTGGTTACGGTTCATTATTATGCAAATTCTCGCGCCTGGCTAATCCCGCTAGTCTGAACGCCCGGCAAAGTTAAGCCGAGCTTAACGTTGAGCTGGGCTTAACTCAAGTCTGAATGTAGCCTAAGTTGAACAAAGTTTGTATGGCTGATAACAAAAAATACTGTGTTTTTGTCACAATTATTCCTGTAACTTCATGTTTGGTTTGAAAATACTCCTACAGGATTATTATTACCAGGGAATTGTTTGGACGACATCCAAACAAGTCCCAAACAAGTAACAATATTTGGTTAGGCGTAAGAAACAAGGTCAATATAATAAAAATGTATTTACTTTTACCCTGATAAGGAAAAAAGCCCAATTCTGGAAAGGATACTTCGCACACAGTTACACTTGCACAAAGAAAGAAGGACATGACGAGTACTATTACCAGTCACCAACAACATTAAACGCCCAGCAACCCTGAAAAAACATTTTTTGCATGAAAATATGCTTTATTTTTAAAATTTCAAACCTGTGTAAGCCTGCTTATTATTAGGCATTTGCAACTATTTTGAATGTGGCACTTTACCACTTATCATGCTTAGTACTTAGTGTTTTGCAAAAATTGAAATTAAGTGGTGGTGCCAGTTGCAGAGGCATATTCCCGTCTCAAAGGAGAACTCAACTCATTCGTTAGGGAAAAAAGTCAATGTAAATATTACAGAATATGAGGATGTAAGATCGATTACGGGCCTTTAAGCTTTTAAAATTACTAAATTGTTAAAGCTTCCGGCAGCTTAGCCCCTGGACCTTTGTCAGAGGTTCTGGGACATCACTCCTTCCCTGCTGTTAGGTAGATATTGGCGCCTACAATTTTTTTGGATGATTTCACACAAGTAAGAAATAAAAGATCAGTAAGTAAGAAATAGTGAAATGAAGTGTTCAAATTCTTTGTTTGGCAAATATTATATGGTGCAAAAATTGTAATGAATTTAGTGTCCTAATATTGTGCTGTAGTAAAAATAGGATAGAATATGAAATTGCCAAAAAAAACTTCAAACGTCTGTGCGGCCAACAGGAGCCTTCAGCCACAGCATCTCAGAATTTTACCCATAAATTATAGATACTTGAAACTTTGGCCTGTGACATCAAATCTAAAAATAATTTTTCCCTATAAATAAATTAATTAAGAAACCATGACAATTTATAATTATGGCCCCTCTGGATGGCTGGAAATGGTACTCACAGACTTGCATTTGAATATAATTTTCTTTTTTTCTCCAATATTGAAAAATTTAGATTACCCTGACTGACTGAGACCCCTATTGAATCCACTGATGTTTTTGTCATATAAAATTTGATAGTCGACAGGGCTTTACTATCAAATAATTAAAAGCGTACTTAATACTTAATAACACACACTGTCCAACTAGTAGCAATGTAAGTTATGTTATTAACGAGCTGTCCAACTATCAAGGTGGCATCTCAGATTGGCTATGAGCTATGTACATGCCATGGATGCTTCATCCATCTCCTTTTTACCATATTTAACCAAAGAGATCTGTCAGAGTTTATTCGTATGACATGTCAATGTAAGTAAATATGAATATCATCATCATAATCATCATCGTCATTATCATCATCATTATTTATGATATTGACAGTTCATATACATAATTTTTGTTATTAATATACAGTATTTACTGAAACAATTTCATGTGGTGGAGTTTGAACTTATGTTTTTTTGTTTTTAAAAAAATTATATTTTTTTGTATGCTTTATAAAATTTATATTGGACATAAATTATATTATACATTTCTATTTTTGTTTCTAGGGAATATTTTGGAGTGCGTCACCCAAAATATTCTGATGCTTTGTTAGATTACGGCTTTTATCTTCTCAATGTAGACTCTATATGTCAATCTGTTACTGTCTACCAGGTAAGAGTATTATTTTATCGTTCCCTTTAAAGCTCTGTGATATGCCCATATATACATATGCGACATTATGATGTCATATGACACCCAAATATGGGTAAATCACATAAAAACTTATTTGTGTTGACAGATGTTTAGATATATGTTGAACATAAATTTTGATATTTTGTTTTCTCCTATATACTGTGTTCAGTAGAAATCCTCTGTTCTCCAATAGAGCTTAGTTATGTTTTATAAACTCTTTATGAGGCTTAGGGAATGGAGTTGTAGTTGGTAGAAAAATTCCACTGTAATTAAACCCCCGCCTTTTGGTATTGGAAGCAGTGGCGGCTCTAGGATATAATTTATGGGGGGAGGGGGCCTAAGGTGTCCGACTGGGGGCTAAGTATTTATGGGTGTAACTATGGCGCGCAGCGTTTCTGAGGACTGCCGGGTATGGGTGCGTGGGTATGGGAGGGGGTATCCCCTCCTCCCAAAACGAGATTTAAAAAAAAAATTGGGACTTCTAGATGGCCGGAAATGGCTGGGATGGGAAAACTAGGCCTATATATATTTTTTTTTTGGTCCGACTGCCTGACAAGCTTTGGCCAATGGGGGGGCTTGACCAGACCGATGGGGGGGCTTAAGCCCCCTGCCCCACTGGTGCCGCCACTGATTGTAAGCCACACATCTTAACCACTAGTTTAACTGTTCTGTTTGATTGCTTATGATATTTAATAAATATGTTGTTTGTGATTACAGCAAGCACTTGATATAAGGTTGTCGGTATTTGGAGGTAGGAACATCCATGTGGCAGTTGCTCATGAGGATTTAGCCTATGCATCTTATGTTCACCAGTACAGCTCAGGGAAATTTGATGATGCCAAGTAAGTACTTACTAAATATATAATATTTGTCTTATAACCTGTGTCAAGAGTAGTGCTGAGGCACAGAGACCAATTTAGGTCCGGTCTAAATAGTAGGAAGCTTTTGACACGATGACACGACGCTAGCACGGAATCATTCATGCGTGACTGTCCTACCTGGCGCCCTTTGTTCTCTGCATACGTAGGTTTGGCCAAATTGCATTCCAGAATCTACTCGACGAGGTGACCTTAACGTTCTCGCATGCGCAGATGATTTTTAGTGACGTCATTACCCTACTATAAGGGTCTTGAACTGGAGGGTAAACTTATTGTTTCTGATTTAATGTAATTTGTTCTTCTGCTACTGTTTTGATATTATTTTTATTGAATATATTTGTGTAAATATATATTTTTAATAATTGATGTACTTCCCTTCTCAGAATGCATGCAGAACGGGCAATAGAGATTATAACACATATACTACCAGAAGATCACTTATTACTAGCATCATCTAAAAGGGTCAAAGGTTAGTATAGCCAAATCATACAAATGTAGTTTGTTTATTTCCTTAAAATGAAACAAAATAAATGCAATGTAATACCTGCTTGACAGTTCATCTTTGTTGGTTATAAATAATTTATATTTATAGTACAGTAAGTTTACTATAAATTTTTTAATTAATATTTTAACCTTCACTATTTTGAGCCAAGTTGTATCATACTTTCTGGGACCTTTGTGACTTTAACTTTGCTTGAGAGTTAAAATACTGGCTGGTTTATCTGAATGTGAATAGCCTCTTTTTGTTATTTATATTTACCTGATGTCACAATTATGCGTTTACCCACTATATTCCTCTTCACCATCTTTGTTCTTCCTCTAAAAATCTCTTGTAAAGGCAAAACAATATGCTATTGGTGCTATATATATAATCTTTTCCTTAAAAGTTCCAGAGTTTAATGACAGTGTTTCAGTGGCAGTGCTGATCTTGGGCACAGTATCAGGGAACTTGGATCCCCCTTGGGGACCTTGCACTCTCATCATGCAATCTCTGTGCTGTCACTGCAATGTTCATAAACCTCAGTTGATTATGAACTCAGATTTTGGTTTTCAATTTTTGTGATATTTTAGCACTTATATTAGAAGAGATTGCCATTGATTCCCACGACAAAGTTCGGGAGGCTAAACTTTTACAAGAGGCCCAAGATCTTCATCTATCCTCACTTAGTCTAGCTAAGAAAGCTTTTGGAGAATTCAATGTTCAAACCGCCAAACACTATGGCAATTTAGGAAGATTATACCAATCCATGCATAGGTACAAGGTGAGAATTAAGCTTTATGTTTATATTCTTGTGTAAACTTTGAATACTCCACAAGGAGCAGTTGGAGTTACAAATATATGTATTTAACTAGTGACCAACAATCTCATCAAATATCTCATCATCCTTACCATCATCATTAGGCGTGATTGCCAAATTATTCCAGACGACAATTCGGCGTTCAGATGCGTTTTCTATTGTTCTACCAAAACGCGTCTGAAAACACCGTTTGAATAGCACATCGTTTGGACGCCGATATTCCGTTTTGGCCTTTGCTCCTCCCATTTGACTATGGCTGATTGGATGTACTGTAAACGTGTCCAGACAACTCTAAAATGAATCATAATACGACTGACTGTGCGGCCCTGTACCCAAGTACCGCCTGTGTGTGCAAGAACTGACAGGAGTACGTAAACTCAGGGAAGTCCCTGGTCGATGCTACAAAAATAGTTGGTTGGGTACTGGGACGTCGTTGAGTAGACCTATAACCGTGCATAGGTGAGACTATCATAATATTCAGTGATTTTACAAATCGATGAAAAAATATAACATTAAAAAATCCAAGTTTTTAGTTAATTCCGATGTAGTCGCAGCGGGAGTCGCACCATCCTGAGCAGCTGTGGTAACATCTAGCACAGCAATTAATTGTTCTCCTTGCCGTTGAAAGGGATCACGTGCTAAGGCCCATGCCTCCAAAAACGTCCATGATCAAAGTGGATGAAATTTTACATTATACTAAGCTAATTTATATTTACATTTTATAAAATAATGTTTATTTATTGAATTGATGTGAATTTCATGCGAAACACGTTTTTTTTTATGCTGAATTTCGACTTGTGTATTCCATAAAAACATGTAATGCTAAACCATTGCCTACCCAGTATAATTATCAAATACAGCATCATCAACTATCTCACGATCATCTTGATCATCACCAACCAGGTCATCATCCATCTTATCATCTTTAACAATCTTATCAACATTCTCATTAACATTACCATCATCAACCTTCACATCATCAACAGTCTTATCATCCAATAAATTATTATCTACCATCTCACCATCATTTTCTACACCATTATCATCAACATCTTTATTATAATCACCATCCTTATCATCAAAAATATCACCATAACAACAACCTTATCAACAAATGCTCATCATCATCTCGACACCTTTTTCATCGTAAATTTCAATCTATATCATCGTAATCATTATCATTGTCATAATTATTGTTTCCAACAGCCATTGTATATTTTAGCAGTGCATCTCTCATAAGTACAAATACAAAAATTGTTTAGCCATCAAAAGAAATGCATAAAATATAAATACAATACATTTAAACAAGTGACGAAAAGGAACCTTCAAGAAACGCTATTGAACTTGTTAAAATAATATATAAAATTCTGAAAAGTTAAAATTATACAAAGAAAACACTTAATCTAACTTAAATGATCCTAAGAATTTTAATTGAAAATACAAAATTGCATAAAAAAAAACTATGGAAAAGACAAACTTAATTAAAAAGATTTATGACAGGAAAACTAACAAAGCTAAGAGAAAGCTACACATACATAAATATATTTTGCCCATCTTTTTAAAATGTAGGAAGCAGAATTAATGCACATCAAAGCTATAGAGATAAAGGAACGCTTATTAGGTGAAGAAGATTACGAGGTTGCACTGTCTGTTGGCCATCTGGCATCATTGTACAATTACGACATGATGAGATACACAGAAGCAGAGTCCCTATACCTCAGGTCTATACAAATCGGTAGGTATATCTTCAGTAGTAACTTATATTGATGATTTCAAAGTATACTAAAAATATAAAATGATAATTTTTCCCGTTTGTGATACCGTATTTCAAAATTTCAAATTCTAGCTGGGCCCTCTGGGGACCAACAACAGCCATTTTGCAACACTAGTTCTAACATGCAATGTGTAATGATGCATCGTCCTTTATCTTGCCTAACTTTAATGTGATGGTAATTTGTACAGCCATCTATCAGAGTCCAAAATAAAATTAGACTCTAGCCTTTGATCCAAGTTTTCAGTGCGAAAAAATACATGGACATTACCTGTGAGCCTAAGGCTCAGCCTACTCTATGTACGAAGATACCACAACCTTCAACATTTGTATTGCTTATTTAATGGTACTGGTTGTGAAATATGCATCAACAAGTCAATGAAATTAAAATAGTAACCAACCCAAGATACCAAAAAATAACTATATTAATAATAAAAATAATCAGGTTGTACAGCATTTCCATTTCCAAAACAGTATGTTTAGAACAAAACTATATATCAAAGCATACACAAAACAGCAAAGGACAATCCAATATTGATAAGTTAAAATAAAAATAATTAAGTCGCATTTGCCTTTAAGTAAAGATAGTTTAATTTTGCACATGTACTGTATGCTCAATCAGTTACATTCCAAGGAAGATTGAGTTACGCTGTTAACATTGGACTTTTCTGTTCGGTAAAAACATCCCAATTATTTTTCTGGTTCAACAGTTACGGATTCAAAGGTTGGGGGGGGGGGGGTGCGCCAACTGGCCTGGGCCTCCCCCTCTCCCCCCCCCCAAAAAAAAAGTGTTCAAGATTTTATTTTAAATGGAGATATAGGAAAATTATATTCATATTTTAAGTCTAGAGGTGGCTTAATCACAAATTTTCTTTACCTCAGCCCAACTATGGTGTGGCTGAGGTGGTATAGATCTTCCATTATGAAAGTAGACTTATATCACCAGGCACACTCTATTTTTAATTCCTGGATCTGCCACTGCTCTATGTTCACACAGTTAAGCTTGCAGTATCTTGGGTTGTTTGACTAAGTAGAATGTGTTACAGGTTGTTTGCTTTAGCATTCAGCACATTTTTATATAAACATTATCTTTATTTTTTTATTACACAGGTAAAAAACTGTTTGGTCCTGGTTACAGCGGTTTGGAATATGACTATCGTGGTCTAATAAGATTGTATAGTAACTTGAACCTATATGATAAAGTTTACGAATTTCAAGAAATTCTTACAAATTGGATGACATTACGTGAAATTAATCGCAACCCAGATGATATACTTGAATACATAACCAACTCTCGAGCGGATGAGAGCATCGAGGAAGTATTGAAAAAGTTCTTCAAACTAGAATGATTAATATGGCAAGAAAACAAGTAGGCAGAGTCATCACCATAACAACAATTAATTGACAGTTACCAGCATTATTTTCTTTAGAATTATTGAGAATGAAGATCTTGCACATGATATTGCCAGTTATTGTTTGAAAAAAAGAAAGAAATTGTGTTAAATTTCTAAAAGGAACAATGAAATGGGAATATTTCTGGCAGAAAATTTCTGATATTTCCCCTTTTCAAAACCAAAGCCAATCTTCAGAAAGGTGTTCTCATTTTTTGGTTGGAGATTGTTTTGATTTTTTGATGCAAAAGCAGGAGTATGTTAAGAGTTATGTAAAAGCACCAGATGCAATATTGAAATGTTATAATATAAGCTATTTTGCAAGAAAATAATTGTAGAAGCAAACAGATTAGTTTACATTGTGCATGGCTACAGTGCAAAGACATTCTGTTTAGTTATTTTTGTTACCTCTATGTGAAGTATTGTTGATTTAAGCCTAGTATCCGTAGTGCTTTTGTGAAGCCTTAAAATATTGGTGAATATATATGTTACTCTGAAATTCAGTATAAATCAAGAAATGGCAGTTGATGTTATTCTTATGTTAATATTTGTTTAAGTATTGTCGCAAGAATCCGTATAATTTAAAATGCTAATTGTTATTTAATGTTTTATTTAAGGTTTTGCATATCTAATAATATCTTCAACTAAGCTAATTTTAGTAACTCAATTTTAGTCATCAAGGGATCCGAGTACAATTGTGGTTAAAAAAAGTAGAGAGAGTAGAAAAGAATAGATATCATGTTCCTTAATTTTGTCTATCAATATAAATTTACCCTTTGTCTTTAGAACCTTAACATTGAACAATCTCTACCACTTTGTGCCTAGTTAAATATATGAACAATGATGACATAAGCAGCTTATGTTGTAGACTAATCATGAATTCCGATGGCTTTGGACAATGCAGTAATGCTACGCTATTTCCTTTTTAGATTATATTTTTTTAACAGGGGTGATTGCTATAAGACAGTCTTATACATCTAAATATTTAACCAAATTCAGACTGCATTGTACAATGCTGTCCGACACGATTTGTTGTTGGGTCTGTTAAACATTAGGTCTGCGTTGGTGACAGTCACGTTGTTGAATATTATACATGTTTAATATTCTCACGGCAACCTAAAGGCAATAAATCGCGTTGAACTGCGTCATATAATGCTGTCTGAGTTGCCCTTTAACTCGTAGAACCCTTGTCTCACTCATTGCAAAAATGAATAATACAATTTCTATGCCAGTTCTCTGTGTCAAAGAGTTGTATTATTTAAATATGTGGTAAATGTATTTGAAGGGGTTTTACTTATTCAAAAGGAAATTTTAATTTCCTTCATCCTCATCACTTTCGTCCAAGAATAGAGTTGATTGATATCTCTTAGACCTCCTCTGAACAGACTTTAATGTGGTCTGTGTGTTATCAATATAACTTTATACTTGGACGACATAGCCAGTTAACTGATGGCAATGGCCTGTAATTATAGACCAGTATCTATGTCATTATACCCCAGTGGTGGTCCCGGGGGGTGGGGTGATTTCCTTGATTAAAACACAAGTGGGGGTTGGTCGGGTGTTGCTCAAAATCTCTCGGAAGTCATCCAGGTTCCCCTGGAAACAATAACAATTTAGGGGTTTCAAAGGCTTATTTACTTATAAATCTCCCTACCGAAATTTGTTTTTTTTCTCTCCAACAGGGGCCCAGTTCTCCCTTACTGGCGACAGTTTAATGTTAAGACCGAGACTGGTTATAGTATCTGCCTCAAGTTTATTTTAAAAAGATTAACAAATTATATTTGTTTTTTATTTGTTTTTAGATGGATTTCATAATTGGTAATTTTTAAAATTAAATTTATTAAAGTTATTACTTGTAACTGGACAATGGTAAGGTGTGATACATCTTGTCAGTCAATATTCTTATTTTTAACCATTTGGTAGGTTGATAGTCATACATTTCAGAAACTGCCACATGGAGAGTTTTAGAGAATACATGTTATCAACTGTTACCTAGGTTGATAGTAATACAATTGAATAAGAACTACCCTTCTTGTAAGGTGGACAGTCATAAAGATTACTGTTCATGAGAACATGCATTACTATCAACCGTCCGTAAATGTTAACAGTCATATCAAATTGAATTTGCTCATGCTCACTACTGTTTCCTAGTAGGCCAACATTTATACATCTGAAATGTTACCATGCAGTTGGTTTGATTCTAATGTTCATTAATAATAATAACTTCATTTCAACACGATAAATTAAGTTTAAGCTGTTGCTGATTTACAAAAGAACACCTCAACAAAGGCTCAAATAGATTTTTACAAGTGATTTTTCACCTTGTTGCATATATACATATCGACAGACAGTCAGTCCTTGGTACATGAGGCCACTAATATTTGTGGCAGTGTCTAGAATGACCTCTCTTAGATAATTGAGATTTTTTTTAATGCATATTTTGTTTTTTTGTTTTTTTTTTTGCTAAATATTTATAGAAATAATTATGAACTTTTTTGAGAGCCATAACTAAGTAAAAGTAATGAAATTATTGTTCCATCTGGTAATAATGAATGCCATTAATGTATTTAAAATACGATTCTACTGTCATACTTTTCATAATTATTTTCATTTAAATGTTTGTTGTTGGCTCCATGATCCAAAAATATACTTCCATTCTCAGAATATTTATTATTGCTATAGGTGAAGCGTAGATAATTGGTTATAATACAGTAAATGTACTCTATTTAGATATGTATAAAATAAATGCACAAATCATTCTATAGAGGTGAAGTAAAAAGCGCTGTCCAGACTGTTTTTGTGTGACAAATACCTGTGATATGCCCAAATATGGGTATGGTATGCCTATATATATGGATGTGATATGACATCATCATGCCCATATATGGGCAATTCACACTAATTTGTCACATAAAATTGTGTGGATTAAGCTTCAGTGATGGTTTGCATGGCCACAATGAGATGTGATACTAAGTTGAGGCAGTATTAGTATTAGTAACTCTAATAGCCCATTTTTGATAGGCAATTGGTTGATTTCATGGAGCTTTTACGGCCATGGCAACAAGTAAGGAAATGTTTGTCCAACCACTTATACTCTTATATTGTTATTTTCAACCTGTAGATGTGTCATCTTTGTAATAGATATATGTAGCTATCTATACAGGAAATAAATGCATGGAACAAACTTGTGATCCATTTTTATCATCTAATTTTATTGGTGCATAGTTCATATGAAGTTTTGATGATGTAATGTATGCCATGTGTGTTTTAAACAAGCAAAGTTTTTACACACATACACTAATTCTGAATCTAAGTGTTTAGTAAGATTTGGGTTGATATTGATTCCTATTTTTGTTTTTACCCAATAATAACAATAATAATAATACCATTAAAGTAAACCACTCATCCCCTTACCTGTTATGCCTTCACTCATTGTGTTTAATGAATAAAAAATTGGTTGTCATTGCAAATTTATTATAAGTCAATCCCAGACCCAGATTTAGAATTGGTGATTTAAAGAAAGGTAGAGAAAGAGGGGATCATAATACTCCCAAACAAACAATTAAAAAAAATTTAAATTCCATGTATCAGTGTCTATGGTTAAGCATGTCTAAACAAAAATCTAAAACATCACCACCCCCAACCTTTTATGCTTTCATTTATTGTGTATAATGAATAGACAGTTGGTTGTCATTGCAGATTTATTAAAAGTCAATCCCAGAGCCAGATTTAGATTTGGTGATTTAAAAAAAGTAGAGAAAGAGGGGATCATGGTACTCCAAAAAAAGCTATTTTTTAAAAATACAAACATCATCGCCCCCACCCCCCACCCCAAACTAGGTTATTCACACTTCGCATGTCTCCTGCCCAAATATTTCTCTAGATCTTCTATTTGTAGTGATGTGACATTGTGCTTTCAGTATAAACATCTGATATTATGAGATTAAATTGCATCGTTTCTATTTTGTCTGCAGAAGTTTTACAAAAAACATACACCACCTACTATAATATATTCCTTCACTAAATACTAACTAAATACACTAAATAAAACATTGCTTGCATAGGAACCACGGTCCCTGCAGGTGTCTTGTTTTTCAAATTTCAGAAAAAAGTGGGATCCGAGATTTTGACTTATGGAACTTGATATACATAAAAATGAAGTTTAAAATGCATTTCGTCACATACACAACATCTCACGGTGCGATGTATTAACAGAAACTGTAGCGTCCTGGTACGTCAAATGATTTTCGTCGTCAGTGTAATCCAAGTCTGCGTCATCGGACGTACTCATCGGTTCGAAATGGTGATTCCATTCTTCCCAAATGTCTCTTTTAACTTTTGTCATCAAATCAACTGAAAAAAAAAAAAAAAAATTAAGTTATGTGAACGACAATTTGCCATTGCCTTGTAAGCAATATGAAGTGTATTATATGTTTTTAAAAAAAAATTATTATTAGGCCTACTACCTGCTAAACAAATATAAAATATCTTTAAAATGTGAACATACCAATAACCACGAACAATATGGACAAGTTAAGAAGTAGCAGAATAAAGGGTGTTATATCATGAAGTACAGAAATCGTGTTGTCTGCCATGTACAGTGTCTCATCCAAGGCGATGATCGCGCCAACCGACAAATTAACGATTACGTAGACCAGTGTCAGCAATTGAAACCTCTGATCTGATTTAGCCTTCAGTGGTTCAACATACAGATGTATTGCAATCAGAATGGTAGTGACGAATAGCGAATAAGACATGTTTGACTCTTGGTCGTCTTTGAAGTTGGCAATAAAAGCGAGAACGGCCTTGTTGTACATCTCAAATATTTCCCAGTACCAAAACTTATCGCTATATGGTCTACTGAAGAACTTCCATTCTAGAGTTTCTGGTTGTTCTTCAGGACGCTTGTATCGGCAATACAATACAATAATAACGAAAATAGGAAAATATAACACGTACACCAAAGAACAATAAACAATGTTCTTGTTAAAGTCATACACTGATCCATCTTCTACATCGATGGAGTAGTCAGAAGTCAATACTCTCTTTTTGTCTCCGCCGTCTTCAGTAACGTAAAATGTACGAATTGACCATGGTCCTACCGCCATGATGTTGGAGCAAGTGCTGGCATAAGTCAAGTACAGTATCATAATTATGATTGACAGGCATTTGTCTTTAAGGTGATGAGCAGAGAGGTCACCCCTGTATCGATTTAGAATGTGCCAAAGGAAGAAGACCAGAGATGTCAATGCCACGATAATGAAAGGTGTCGCTATTGCAATATAGAGAAGTGTGTATGCGTTCCAAGAGTCTGAAAAAATACATCTCGGGCTGAGAATATTGATGTAGCGAACAATGTCCAGATATTGAAGGCTTTCTCCAACTGATTGGAAGTCTTCTGGCCAATGAATTTCATTCACTTCAGACAGTATTCCAAGAATTTGATAAAAATTGATTGCGATCTTCATATGAATCATGAAGGAACCTATGCCATTTCTTCCTCTTCCTCGTCTGTCCAGTTTCCACACGACGTATCCGACAGACGTCAACACAATTGTGACAGCAACAAAGACAGTGACTATTACACCAATGTGCTGACATTTAAAGCATTCATTGAATAATTGGTAATGGTTATGGCTGCACGCTGCACACAACCATCCCGAATAACCTTTAGAACAGTTGGCATTGATTCCGCCACCATTACAACTTTTAATACGGGGACAAGCGTGAACAGCCGGTAACAGTCCGATGTATGTTGTCTCTTTTAAGACATCAGGATCTTTAATATTGAATCTATCACTTTTCAAATTTGCTACAAATTGGCTGTAGTTCTCAAAACTTCCGGGAGCAGCTGGAAATTTCCAAGACCACCAGTATCCTTGAATCAAACGCTGAACGCCATCTGTGCAGTCGACACCTTCAGGACAATGTACGCATGGGCCGTAACGATCAGTACGATGGAAGTTACGTAGACAGTCACAAGCATTAAGATTTGCCAATTGATCTGTTTTTGTTCCAGTTGGACATGCTTGGCAATCAGCAACAGAGCCTGCACCACTACGAGGCGAGAAAGTTCCAAGTGGACAACGCTTACAGTTTGCTGTATAATTTCCCTTCTCAACGAATCCTAGCAGATCCTGATAAAATCCTCCTAAATACAGTATAAGGAACATAATTTTCAAAACATAAAGTTTTCTTGAAATGGTTTTTAAATTTAGGCAGATAAATCGAATGCGCTTGAACAAACTTTATGTTCAAATTACTGCAAAACTATTTTGCTTCGAACTTTCCTCGGAAAAAGAAAAGCTTTTATTATTTATGCTCAGGGCCCAAACTAGCCCCACTACCTCCCTAAGCTGGTCGAACGTTTCGTCTGGGTCTGTACCCTAGCTGCACTGATGGGGCCTGAATGGCCGAAACGGACCCGTCTGCAAGATATTGGGATTTCTTCCAGTGGATACTTAATTTATTTTTGTCATTCTGATCAGATTTTTCTCTACTGTTCCGTTTTAATTTTAAATTGTTTTGCATTATGTGGCCGTTTGTTGTTTTATGGGTTTTCCCATTTGCCTGTTTTCCTTTATATAATTAAAAAATCTCTATTGAGATCCAGCGGGCCGCCATTGATACACGGTAGACATTGTATCTTTTATTGTCAAACTGTCCATAGTATCCTGGTCGGCAAGGCGAACATTCACCATCACTGCTACAAACAATGCCATATAATCGGATCTTATAATTCAACAGGATTATTTTGTCAATTACAATAGTTGTTGTATCTGTCATACAGTAACTGAGAAATAAATGATAAACATTAATGATTTATTTGTTTATATACATATTGGAATGAATAACGGTGTAGGCATATTTATTGTACCAGTTTATCCGCAATTAAAAAAACGAAATATTTACCCATTAAATATCTTTTCAGAAAATACTGAAGGGATATTCCTGAGGTTCTCGCAAGTTAGATATCTATAAAAAAAGACATTTTTTTTTACAAATAACTTAATCAGTGTATTATAATTCAAAGTATGCTCTTACCAACTGTAAAAAATGTAATATGAATATTAAAATATAAAAAAATAATTTAGGTGAAGAAATTCATGATTCTTATACATACACAGTTGAGTTTTGTGCCGTATGAGAAAACGCGTTGTTTTCTATTACCTGTATTGGGTTGTCGTAAATGTATCTGCGAAAAGTAAATTAGGCGTATTATAATGAACGGACGAATGAATGAATAAAATAATTAACACATTCCACACGTATATGTTTATATGTATAAGTATGTGTGTTTATATATTATGTATATGCTTTGCAGAGTTATATTTTCGAGTTTTGTTTTAAATAATTGTCTATTGCATAGGCCTATGAATGAAAAATGTCATTATATTATTTTCTTCAAGCTTACAGGTAGTCTATTGTGCCCATCTCCACGTAAAATGTTTTATTCGTTATGTGACTCAAGAAATTTCCCTGTACGAAACTGTAAATTAAAAGAAAATGACAATGAATTACTATCATGATGCTCATATTTTGCGTTTTATTAAGGGACTATTGACTTGGATCTTGTTATGTAGATATCACTTAAGCCGTTAAAGAAGAAAACATCAAGAATAATGTTTGAAAATCTTGAACCACTCACCAATTTTGTCAAGGGCTTTTATCTGTACAAATAAAAGTCCTTTATTCAATCGCTCCCTTAAACAAAATAAAATCAGGGGCTGCACCTGTGGGTAGCATGGGCCCGAGCCTACCCACTGAAGAAGAAAGACGTTTTAAAGTCTGCCGGGACACATTTTAATTATAATAATATTCTAAGCCATAGAGTACTGGCATGACTGGGCATCTTGATGTGAAATAACTTATTCTGTTTTACCTCAGCCCCAATCATGGTGGGGTGGGGCTGAGGTGTTTGTGGCCTATCTGTCAGGGAACAATGTAACACCTTTAGGGAAATGCTAATGCACCTCTGAAGAAAACTAAGTTGCGAACTTCCAATGAGACACAGAAAGCAAATGATTATAGGAATTGACCTTTCAAGAGCGTCAATCAAAATTTAACTGACCAGACAGAACAGAGTAAGGCTAGGCACTTTTCCCAAACACGTGTTGTCTTGTCCCACAACGCACGTCCCTTCGTACGCTTACACAGTTGCTTTGTGGGACCTTAGCAACAATCAATATCCAATGGACGGAAGGGTCCTCTGAACTGCGTCAAATTGACTAAAATGTTTCGTCGTTCATATTTTTTATAAGCTAATAATTTTTCAAATACATGATACTGTTATGTGAAGCGCTTAGAGGCCTTGTTATTAAATTTGTAATACTTACAGGTGTGTAATACTGGTTCCATTAAATGCACCGTCTGCAATATACGTTATGTTATTTTGGAGAAGCAAACTGGCAAAAACAAGATATAATCTGTTAATAAATCTCAATAAATGGCATTCAATTGCACACCGACCGGACGCTTCATCATAGGCCTCGCGTGTGACAAGCTCATAAATCGGGCGAGTTTGCACGCCTGCCGGACCTCTTTCAATCCGTCGGCAACAATTTGACTTACCCACACTCTGGCTGCTGTCGATCCGCTCGAGTCCGCTCGGCCTAGCCAAACAGAGTAGCCAGTCCCTAAAACCAGGCTTAAGCTTACAAAAATAATGGGTTGTTACATTTTGGATACAAATTTTCCCTTTTGCATGGTGATAGGGCATAATGTCGGGATACCAAAACTACGTTACTGGAAATCTCATCTGATTTGACCTCAATTTTAATAGTTTTATTGAAAAAAAACATGAAATTGCCATATATCTAAGTAATTTTCATGCAAAATCGCTCAGAATTTTCATAAAATTCATGTTTTTGGGCAAAAATATCAAATGGTCATATCTCTGCAACACTTGGGAAAATATAGGTAAAAACCATCTGGAAAATATAGTTCATTATTAATTAGGCCTTGACATGGATCTAGGCTGGTTTCCCCCGGACATTCCCCACCCCCGGACACTTTCCCTCGGTATTTCCCCTGTCTCTTATACACATCTAGATGTGTTCCGGACTGTTTCCCCTAGGACAATTCCCCTCCCCAAATATTTCCCCCTCCATTATAAAACACGAATTTATATACAAGGGATACATCAAGATTCATATCATCTCTTTTATTTAATCTGTATTAAATCGACTGCACAAGTAACAACAATATTTAAATGGTAATATTTAAGTAGCAACAACAAACAGAACAAAATATGAATTATATAGGCCTACATAAGCAAATACCACGGGGAGGGGGAAATTTCCGGGGGGAAATACCGGGGAAAAATTGTCCAGGGGTTAATGTCCGTGGGTGGGCAAAAAGCCTACTCCGCTTGACATATGTTTATTGAGATGTTACTGTATTGGCACATTGTAGGGGTTACTGGAAATATTATTTGACTTCTGTGACTTTTGACCTAAATTTTTGTTTTTTTTTATTGAAAAAAAACATGAAATTGCCATATCTTTGTAATACTTTGTTCTATTGAAATACTTTTTGTGTCAAATTGTCCAAAAGACACAAATTTATATTTGCTCTAATACAACATGAAAAGTAATGCTTACTGAGAATTTCATCAAAATAATATGAAAATTCTATATTTCTGAAAAATACAGCTAATTATTAGGCATTGACATAAGTTTATTGAGATGTTACAATAGTGACCTTTGTATCATTTTGTATATTCTGTTTTATGTATGTGATCCTTCGTTTAGTTTTTGTCTAACTTCTATACTAATTTTTGCATCGAGAAGACGAATTTTAATTTTTTTTTTTTTTTGTGCTAGTGACAATAAAAGAATCTTGTATCTTGTATAGTGGTAGAACACATTGTGGGGTACAAAATCTAAGTGCAATGATGATGATATACAGTAAAAAGTGATGATTATGATGGAGAGCCTAATGATGTTGTGGAATTATAATAGGGATAATAATAATGGAGGATGATGATAGTAATAACTATGCTGATTATATGATGATGATTATAAGGTGATAAAAATAACAATGATAAAGGATGACAATGTTGATAGTGCGATAACGGAGGACGATGATGATAGGTGATGATGATAAAGTATATCATGGAGATAATAAAAAAAATTCACGAAAACTATGTTAGTGATGTACTGTATGTCAGAGTGTCGACGATGGAGGATGATTTAGAGAGTTGATGATGATAAAAATGGATGCTGATGATGATGATGATGATTACGGATGGAAATCATGATGATTATGAAGATGATGGAGGAGGAGGAGGAGGATGATGATAACAACAATAATGGTGATGGTGATGATGATTATGCAGAAGGATGGTTTAAAATGATTGAAGATGATGATGATTATAATGATGAGGAATGACTTTTGTTTTGATAATTAAGGATGGTAATTTTTTTTCTGGATGAATATGTTGATTGAATATGATGGTGATAGTGATGACAATAAAAAAACTACTACGCTGGAAAACGATAATGGGGGATGATGACGATGATGATGACAGTGACATGATGATGATGGAAAATTGCGATATTGGATGATAATAAATGATGATAATATATGATATGATGATAATCATTCTAAAAAATTACAATTAGAGAATGAAATATGGTGATGTCTGATAATGGGGATGATAATTGTTGATGACGATTTATGGAAGAAGAAGATGATGATGATATATCATCATTCAATATTGTTATCTTTTATCAACATTACAATCACCATCATCATTACCGGTATAACCTAGTATCATCGTAATCCTCCATCACCATCATCATCTGTCATTATTGTCCTCCTTCAGCATAATAATTTTCTATTATCGTCACCATCATTTTTGTCACCATCCAGCGTCATAGTTATCATCATTTATCATTCTCCATCATTATGGATGATGATTTATGGAAGAAGACAATGATGGTATAAATTTTACATTTTGTTTTTTAAATATTTTAAGGGAAATATTTCAATATACAATGTCAAGTCCTAAATATCTGACCTAACAAACCAGGGACGTATCCAGGGGTGGGGGGAGCCGTAGGAGCAGCGGCTCCCCCCCCCCCTTGTACACAGTGTTAAAATTTTAAAGCTTATTCTTGAGTCAATACAAATTCTTTCCTGGGATCACTTAAAATGAATACTTCTAAACATGTAAATATGCATCAGTACACGTTATACATAGGCCTAATAGAACACATAAGCCTAAGCGGTGATTAAAAAAATCTTAAATCCATAAATCTCAGGCCAGGTCTTTTAAGATAGAAATGCGATACTGTGGTTCAATTTCGTTTTTATCCTTTTGCAAGTTTCTTTAAATGTTTGTTTAATAATACTATTACTACTGTAATAGTAATAATAATAACAATGATGATGATGACGATAGTAATAATTGATATTAATATTAATAACAATAAAAAAAATTGTGCTAAATGCGAAAAAAAGTCGTGATTTGTTGATCATAATATAGTATATATAGTTAAAGCTTAGTAAGCTATAATTAGGCCTAAGTTGTCCTGGATATTAAGTAGATCCCTGATAAAAGATCATCAGAAATTTGTTGGCGTTTCATTTTGACTATAATGGTAATGTGATGATGATGAATTTTACTATATAAAAGTGTCATTTCCGGCCATTTCGAGAGGTACTATTTCCTCAAATGTTCTCACCTCAGCCACAGCCATGGTGGGGCTGAGGTGGTTGTGAAATCATGTTTTTGAAGTAGGCCTATGTAAAGTACATACTCAAAGACAATATTTTAAAGCTTTTTTTCTATGATTTTTTTTCCTATGGTATATCCCACACACATTAATAAGAATGAGATCTCTATGGTAAATAATACTACTACTAATAGTAATAATAATAATAACAATGATGATAATGACGATAGTAATAATTGATAATAATATTGATAGCAATAAAAAGTGAAGAAAATTGTGCTAAACGCGAAAAAAAAGTCGTGATTTGTTGATCATACTATAGTATATATAGTTAAAGCTTAGTAAGCTATAATTAGGCCTAAGTTGTCCTGAATATTAAGTAGATTCCTGATAAAAGATCATGAGAAATTTGTTGGCGTTTCATTTTGACTATAATGGTATTGTGATGACGATGAATTTTATTATATAAAAGTGTCATTTCCGGCCATCTCGAGAGGTACCATTTCCTCAAATTTTCTCACTTTAGCCCCAGCCATGGTGTGGTTGAGGTGGTTGTGAAATCACGTTTTTGAAGTAGGCCTATGTAAAGTACGTACTCAAAGACAATGTTTTTAAGCTTTGTTTTCTATGGTGTATACACACACATTAATAAGATCTCTATGGTTGTCAAAAATCCCTGATAAAAGATCATGAGAATTTCTTTTGGCGCTTCATTTTGACTAATGGTGATGTGATGATGATGAATTTTACTAAAAGTGTCATTTCTGGCCATCTAGAGGTACTATTTCCTCAAATTTTCTCACCTCAGCTCCAACCATTGTGGGGCTGGGGTGGGTGTCGACTTACAAAATTCTCTCCCCCTCCACCATTCAAAACAAATCTGTGCCCTTCCCTGGGTATGACATTAAACTCCATCGAGTCGGCTCCTGATGTATGTCTTAGTGACTGCTATTTGTTTTTAGGATGTGATCTGGTTTTTCATGTCCATTTTTCGTGATTATGACTATTCTGGATAAAGAATGTTTTGAGCAGAGGTGGATTCAAGGCACCCCCCTTCATTTTTTTAAGGAAAAAAAAGGAAAAATATATTCAAATTGAAGTGCGAAAGTGTAATTTCCGGCCATCTAGAGATGCCCTAATCATAAATTTTCTTACCTCAGCCATGGTGGGGCTGAGATGGGTGGTTCCTCGGTCTGTGAAAGTCCCTCCCTGGTTCATCTCTCTTTTGAATTCCTGGATCTGCCACTGTTGATTTATTATATAATTATTTTTGCGCTTATTTATAATGCGTCTATTGCAATTTTCACTTTATCCTCTCAAACAGTCCTAAGAACGTTCAGAGTGCGCTACTTCACAGGGGGATTTGTCCCCTTGACCCCGCCGGGGTCATACGTAATTCGCATAGCGGCTCCCCCACTTTCAAAATCCTGGCTACGTCCCTGTAACAAACTGTACTTTACAGAAATGTGGCTTTTTATAGGCCTATATTTAATTTGCCCAAAAACATGATTTTAAGGAATTTCTCAGTAAGCATTAAGGTACGTTTTATGGCAAATTTTGTATTAGAGCAAATAAATTGATACCAAAATCAATTCAATATACCAAAACGTTAAAGAGATATGGTAACTTTATTTTTTTAAAATAAAAAACATAAAAATTGAGGTCAAAGTTCACAGAGGTCAAATCAGATTTCCAGTAACTTGGATTTTGTACCCGGCATCATATGCTACCATTAAGCCAAAGGGCAAATTTGTATTTACTATTGTTCCATCTCAATAAATGTAACATATCAATGCCAAACACATGATTTTAAAGAAATTCTCAGCAAGCATTAGTTTTCATGGAAAAGGTTATATTAATAATGTAGTGGATATTTATAAGGCGCTGGTATCCACATGGTGCAATCATGATGCCAGAGCCAAGCAAGAGTGGAAAAATTAAGGAAGATATAGTGCAAGAAAGAGGAGATTAATTGGGGAAGTGTATTAGAGCAAAATATAATATGTTGCGTTGCAGAGATATGTCTATTTCATATTTTTGCCCCAAAACATGTTTTTAAGTAAAATAATAATAATAATATTAACAATAATAATAATAATAATAATAATAATAATAATAATAATAATAATAATTGAGAATTTATATAGCGCGAATTATATAACAATGTTAAAATCAAATGCTCTTTAGACTGAAAGTTATGAAACATGTTTTTTAGGTAAAAATAATAATAATAATTATCTTAATATTAATAATAATAATAATAATAATAATAATAATAATAATAATAATAATTGAGAATTTATATAGCGCGAATTATAAAACAATGTGAAAATCAAATTCACTTTAGACTGAAAGTTATGATGTTTCCTTAAAACATAATGTTTTGATGTTGTGGATATTGTAGAAGATTGCTGAAATGTGAAAGATCTGTTACCGATGAGGTCAAGGATCACAGAGGTCAAATCAGATTTCTGGTAAGTTCTATTTTACCCCACATTATGTTCTACCACTTTGCCAAAGGGCAAATTAGTATTCACTACTGTAACATCTCATTAAACACACGTCAAGGCCTGATAACAAATAAAATAGGCCTATGGCATTTTCATATAAATTACCCAAAAACACGATTTAAAAAAAAATCTGGGTAAGCATTAGTTTTCATGGAAAAGTTGTATTAGTATTTGTATTTAGGCACACTTTATTCAAACATTGAATACACGGCCACATGGCCCAACAGGTAAAACATAACTGGCACGCAAACCAGAGTCACCATGAAAAAATCTTGAGGAACATGCAACGGAATTTAATCACTTTTTTTTTTTGTATAATCATTTATTTTATTATTACACCTAATTTACTTATTTATTTACTTAATTTGGTAAAGTAGGCGTTCAACCATCCTTAAGTTTTTGTGTACCCTAACATCCACAGTCACCCAAGGACACACCAGTAAATGCTGCCTGGTGAGGTTTACGGAATTACCGCACAGCTTACATGAGCAATCATTATTAATGTGGTAACAATTAGCTATGCTACACCAAAGGTTATGGTAAGCCGTCCCTATCCTATTAGAGCAAATATAAATGTATGTCTTCTGAACAATTTGACACCAAAATTACTGTAGGCCTAAGAGTTTCAGAGATATGACATTTCATATTTTTGTCCAAAAACATTATTTTTAGCACAAATCTCGATAAGCATTGGATTTCATGCAAAATGTTGTATTAGAGCAATGACTTATAACTGTTACCAGGATAGGAAGCTGGCTGGTTTAAGCCGTCTAACTTGAATTAGCCTTATATGCGGTATTGTTATGCTAATGAGCCAGATAAGCACAATCTGCACATGCTCAGAAAAACAAAACTTTCCTTTGCCACACTGTGGCCCGCACTGCGTATCGGCTAGGCGTACAGCTAGGCCTGCCAAGGATTGCGGTATGGTAAACAAAGAAAAGGTGTATTAAAATCAAAAGTTGGCGTTTGTGAGCAATACATTTTAATTTTATAAGTAAGTAGTAAGTATATGAATAATTTTAATGCACTAGTTAGTTGATAACTTCATTCTAATTTGTTTTGGGTCTTTTTTCTGCATTTTTATAAGCGGTTAGACATGGCCTAGGCTAGCCAACAAAACAAATCACATCAATTTAAAATCAAATTTGTGAACATACTTGCCTTATATCTTAAATAGCAGGTGATTTTATTGGTAGATTAGTTTGTTTTTAAGTGTGTAAGTACGATTGATTTGCATGCCAAGTGAAATTAGTACCATTATTTTGCTTTGTTTTATCGCACCATAATTTTCGGTAGGCCTAGCTGTTCGCCAAGCCGATACGCAGTGCGGGCCGCAGTGACTAAGGAAAATTTTGTTTTTCTGAGCATGTGCAGATTGTGCTTATCTGGCTTATTAGCATAACAATACCGCACATAAGGCACTTAAACCATGGAGAAAATAAAATCTATTTTATTTTCTCCATGCTTAAACCAACCAGCTTCCTATCCTGGTAACAGTTAGTCCTTGATTAGAGCGAATATAAATGTGCGTGTTCTGATGAGCAATTTGACACCAACACTCTTTCAATAGACCAAAGCATTACAGAGATATTGCAATTTTATTTTTTTTTTCAATAAAAGCATAACAATTTAGATCAAGGGTCACAGAGGTCAAATCAGATTTCCATTTTCTTGGTTTTGGTACCCCCCACATCATGCTACCACCATGCCAAAGGGCAAATTTGTATATGGACCGCACTAAAGTCAAAAAGATCCCCTTGAGTTGGCTCTGTCGGCATTTGCGGCCGGAAATTATATAGCATTCTAAATTCTGCATCTTACTTGCGATCAGCACCAAATATGAAGAGGACTGAAATATTGCAAATGTGTAAAAATCGAAAGTAAATCGGTCTAGTAGTTTTTGAGCTATGCGCCTGGAAGGACACACACCACACACAGACGCTATTGCAATACCCTTCACTCACCTCTCCTTCCAGGGGCGGGTCCAGCAGCAGGCCACGTGGGCCCATGCCCCCATCCTCTCTCGTTAGTCACGCCGAAATATTAAAAAAAAAAATTGTGAAGAGTTAAAGAGAAGAAAGAGATAAAAAATAAACAAATAATGTTGAATTTTCGATTGATTGAGGACGAACACAACGCTATATCCCCGACACCAATTTTTTCCAACTATTTCGTAAATCAGGCTGTCTAAAAGGCCAAAGACGGAGATCTAAAGATGAAGTTTTTTTTACCTGGAATGTAGTACCCAGCTATAGAACAGCTATCCATACTCAGTGGCGCAACGCCTCTGTGCTCTCGTGCGGCGGTCCGCGGGAGGTCAACTTCGGCCGCGGACAATATCGGCCGCGCACCGTCGAACGCGAAGCAACTTTTTTTCGTAGGTAAATTTGGTAATATGTCATTCATAACGCTTCTTATAGACCATATTTTGCGCATGCGCTACTTTCAAGTCGACGTCAGCCTGATATCAGCTGCTCTGTACATTATCACGATAGGACCTAGTTTTCAGCGCTTGTATGGGCCTTGTATTTGAATCAATGCAAAAATGAAACCAGTGATTGAATTGACTCAGTTGGGTTCTGAATTTTAATATATTAGCTAAATTTACTATCTGGAACACACAATTAGATAAAAAGAGGTGGAAGAGTTTAGAAGAAGGGTAGATACTGTATGTTGAACAGTAGGCTGAGGGAATTTTCACTTCCGTAGACTTCGCTTAATGGAAATGCTGATACGAATAATGATAGATAGCAGTGGCGGATCAGGGGGAGTGAATTGGGTGGCTAGCCTAGAATTCCCAAAAGAAAATTACAAGTTTTTTTTTTGGTTGCGTAAATTCTGTATTTAGGCACAGGGCGGAGGTAGCACTATTTATGGTGCGACGCTCTATGTTAACGATGAAGATGTAAGGGTAACTGACCTAAAATAGCGCCCTCTATAATTTCCGCCTTAACTGTATGGGGGAAAAAAATGCCGTCCGAATTGCTTTCAGTTCACCGGCTAGAATTTGACACATAATCTATCAGCTCGAATCAGCCTGCCCTAGCCAATAGACTCTGTCGAACGATCCGCTAGAGTTGGCTTTGCCATTCGCGACTGAAAAATATATAAATAACGTTCTAAGATCTTCCGACCAGCACCAAATTCAAGGAGGACCGAAATAATGTAATATTGTCAGTGTGTGAAAATTGAAAATTTGTCAATCGGTCCAGTAGTTTTTGAGTTATACGCCTGGAAGGACACACGCCACAGACAAACACACACACACACATAGACGCGCGCTATTTCAATAGGGTAGGCCTAATGATAATTATTATTATAATTCCTTATAATTGGTTTTCATTCAAATTGGAAATCGGAAATTTGGGGAACTCGCGGCAGCCGCAGTGCAGCGCCATCGACTTAACTACAACATAGGCCTATCATTATGGTAATTATTGTTGTATTGGCTGCTTCGGTGAACTGGTAGGCTAGTGTGGCAAGGCTGTGTTTTGTTGACAAATCGGTCGTGTGGGTAATTGTGGACGTGCTAGAGGGCGCTGTTGTTAATAATAGGAACTCTATGCAGCCTGTGTATGATTGATTGGTGTTGTTGCGATATGGCAAGGAAGAGTTAATTAAATTCAAACAAGTTAATTATTTTTTTGTATATTATTTTAGAAGTCTGTCTGAACTCTAAAAGTACACATATTAATGTAAAATGTTATAACATACCAAAATTTCATTTTTAAACACAATAGGCCTACATCAAGGAAAAAAGAAAGATGGATGTAGTGGCCACAATTACCTACACCCGTAGGTAATTGTGGACACTTGACCTAAGTATAATTAATGCTTGTTAGCTAATTAAATAATAATCTGATAATCTTGAATTATGCATGTAATTAAACACCAATAATAGTTGTTGATAATTTAAACAAACTTTCAGGTGTACAGTATAACTCAATCTACATTTTTTTAATCTATGCAAATATGCTTAAAGGTCCAAAATTCCTACCCTTACCCAATTCGAGGCAAGAAGCCAAGCGATCAGACTCCAATTAAAACCCGACACTGGCCAGGTTTGAACCAATGTCTTCAGCACAAGAAGCAGGAACAGTGATATCTTTAGTGGCAGCAGGTATATAAGTGGTATAATAAGTAGTAGTACACTTACACAAGTGTCAGAGATCCAAGACCGCTAAAATTGTCCCTTGAAATAGTTTGTATTTTATTCCTTGTTAGCACTAAGTTGCGTGGTGAATATTTTAAAACGGGTCCACTTCCAAGAGAGGAAATGTTATTCCAACTTACATCACTAAAATTGAGAAGTAAACGTGTATAAGAAGTAATAAAACTAGTTGAGAAAGCTAAATATTGTGTTGATTCACATGCATGTAAACAATTTGAATATAATAGTTAACAACAATAATACAACGACAACAAAAACAATTATATCAATAATAATGGCCATATACTGTAGTTTCATCTGATTTTGTCATCGGGACGTCACATCAGTTACATTTACCAATATTTCACGTTTATTTTGTCCGAAATTGTAGGCAACTGTATGTCCCGTTTTAGCAGATTTTAAGTTGCCTTGAATAATTTTGATATTCACGCATATTTTGGAAAGAATATTTTAGGTCAATCAGAACGAATCAAGAAATGGAACATACTTTCTTTATTTGCATAGCAGTTTGATTCTGATCGGTATCTGGTAGAGCCATTATCGACTGAATCTGTCATAAGAAGGCATTATTTCTATTTTCCCATAAGACAAACAGTATCCATATTGAAATATCAAAATATTGGTTTTTTGGAAGACTGCATAGATAAGTTTTGAACATAACAGTATCAAGACTATAATTATATTGAAGAAGGATTAGTTTTAACATGGACTAATCGGGATTTTTTTAAAATTCCAATTGTTGTGGTATGTATATTAATTACTGGATATATCTACCGTGTTTTTTTGTACTTTATTTGCAAGCATCATGAGTAATATGATGTCTTTTATTGTGTATTGATGTTAATTTTATCCAAAAAATCTTGGTTTTTTATTATTATATTCATATTGAATATTATCAATGTAGATGTAGACAGGTGGTTAACAAATGTAAAATGGCTAGGCTCTTTACCCTGTAAAAATGGTTGTGACCTGAGATACAATATATAGGCTAGTTGTCACAGGTTGTTAAAGCGCTTAGTATCGTGATTTAATTGTTTAATTTAAACATTAAGAATTACGTACATGAGTTGTGTCACATGTAGCTTGAACAAAGCTCGAGGAAACACAGTTAATAAGTTGTCGAAAAGATACCTGAAACGGTAAAAAAAAACAAAAAAAACCCAATAATATATACAGTACTGCATGTTCTTCTTATCACTACCGTAGTTTATTCCAGTTGCAGCAGCAAATCTAGAAATTTGTTTAGCCGATTTTGTTTTGTTTTATTTCTTGGTAATGTATTTTTTTATTTTCGAATTGCCAATAAAATTAAAAAAACATTTTTTTAAAAATTGGTATTAGCATAGGCCTAATACCTGAACTCCTACTCCGAAGATGTTTGCTCATCTGATGTAATAAGAATAAGAAAAATTTACCTGACCGTTTTTCAGAGGGGAAAACCTTGAATTTTGAAGAACTTAAAAGTCATTAAAAGACACTTCAGAAGTCGGAAATCTCTTTTCCCACTATTTAGAACTCAACATTTTCCCGGTAAGAACCCGGAACTTCTTTCTCTTTTGGGGTTCATCAATTCATGGAAAAAAGAATACGTATGCAATACTCAATTTCTTTTATGTATATACACACATATACTAGGCCTATTTTACTGTAATAAAAATGAGAAAGTTTACCTGACCGTTTTCAATAATGGGAAAACCTTGAATTTTGAAGAACCATATAGGAATCAAAAATTTCCCGGCACCCCCCCCCCTTTATTTTTGGGGTTTTTTGGAAACATTTTGACACCCCCCACCCACCCCCAAATGTGAACCCAGATCGACGCGCCATAATCTTAGCACTAATAATCTAAAACGACATTGGAAGTTGGACGTACAGGTGGAACAGGTGGAAAAACCTGTTTGTCATTGTGAAGAAAGTTTTTAGGTATTAGTACGTCGACACCTAATACCATATCCATTTTCCATTTCATTCGGGCAACTACCCGACTTTATTCAGCCAATCAGGCCACATAAAGGAACTTAGATAACTGAACCTGTGACTGAGTATCTTTGAATAATCTTAGGAATTTATAATGCGTTGGATTTGGCCAGACAAAAAGGGAGTACAGTATAGACTCTCTTTTTTGTAAGCTGTGCAAATTAAAGGAAAATGATACTCGTCTTCTACATCGTTAGCGTCACAAAGACAGCAAAGTGATTGGGTCTGCTTCATGTCTAGTGCTTATAAGTAAGGGATGGGACCCAGTGCGGATCAGCGGTGGCACCAAGGGGAGAGGGGGGCAGGCCTCCCGCGAAGAGCTCCCCCACCCCCTTCGTCGGGGAGAAAAACCACAACTTGTCGGGGAGGAAAAAAGCTGTATTTATTTTCTATAGTAAACCTCAAAACCGATTAAATAATAATAATATTTTCGAGGGCTTCGCCCCTGGGACACTTTCGTGAAATTTTGAGCGACGCCCAGCCACGTCGGGAACATCCCTCCCCCCCTTCCCCCGTCTGGCGCCACCACTGGTGAGGAATAGAGTTATGCATCCACGGTGTTTCGTATTGGCTACTAATGAAATATATTTTCGGGTTCTCTATGAGAATTGGTTGTCAATATTTATAAAGAGTCATATGGAAAACTTTGTGGTGTTTTTTCGAATTTGCCTCCCGATTTGCCTTCGCTTGCTAAAGGTTGACTCAAGTGATGCAGCACTAGAGCGAGACCGTGTTAAGTTTTGTCTACATAGAAAATTAATTAAGGAAATGATGGTCTATTATGAATTATGAGGAAATACGTTTTCGAAGTTTAAAGTTTGTTTAAAGAATACGGGCGTTGATATTATTATTGACGAAAAATTGAGTTGGACACCACACGTTGAATATGTTAAGAAAACAGTTTCATCCAAACTTTGTATGTTAAGTAGAATAGGTAATTGTGCCCCCCCCCCCCCCCCCCCCCACCCGCCCCCCACCACAGGTTTGTAAGTTTAGCCCATCTTTGGACTATTGCTGCACACTATGGGGAGGTCATTACATATCCCACACTATGCTTAAAAAGTGTATAAAAAGAGCTGCTAGGGTGGCAGATATTTTGCACAACTCATTGGCTTTCGTTTTCTGAAAGGGTTACTTATATAAAAGCTTTGTTTTTAAATGCATTAGGCCTAACCGATTGACACCATAATAGGATGACAAACCTATTCACACCGTTATTGCAAACTCGTGAAAAAAGGCAGTCCATAAAGTTGAAAGTCCCTTTTGTGAAAAGCGAAAGTTAT